CTTCAAACATGTCACATTAGGGCAGGGGTTCTTGGGAAGAAACATGATGTATCTTCCATGTGAACAGGGTGCCGTCAATCGTGCCATGCCTCCAGAAGGTCCGGCGAGATCGACAACTGCATCGTGTCCCCAGCACGGAAGACCACCGCCAGCGACCCCACGGACATGGCGGGATCTGTGGCGCGGTCCAATACGGGCAAAGTCCGGACACTGCCTGTACGTTGGCATTTTGCTCATACAGGGAACTGGTATTGGCTACGTTCACTAGTAGTACCTGAAGGACAACGCACGTGTCGCTTTGCGCTCTGGGAAGCGGTACCCTGCTTTCCTTGACCTGTTGAATTACTCGTCTGACCCAAGCTTTCTTCTGCTCAGTTTGTGACAGACCCCCAGCTGTATAGTTGATCAGATTCCCACGTTCATGTACATTCGTGGCACATGGCGGAATCGAATATTTATCTCGGGTTCAACACAATGGAAAATTGCATTGTTCTCTTTGTCCATCTATCCATATATCCATCAATCCACCCACACACCCATCCAACCAACCCCACCCACCCACCCACCCACCCATCCATCCATCCATCCATCCATCCATCCACCCACCCACCCACCCACCCACCCACCCACCCATCCGCCCATCCAGCCACCCAATCCACCCGCCCACCCGTCCACCACCCATCCATCCATCCATCCATCCATCCAATCCAATCCAATCCCATCTCATCCCATCCCATCCCATCCCTTCCCATCCCATCCATCCATCCATCTAATCTATCAAATTATCTAGCCTTTTCACTCTGATCTAATCTGTCCACTCTATCTATCCTATCTAGTTTATGTAATGTATCCCAATGTATCTAACCTATCTAATCCTATCTTATCTATTTCGCCCAAAGGCCTCGTAGCACCAGGCCCAGGAGCTCCGCGCAAAGTGCGCGCGGGGCCTCAAGTCGATCGGACCGCGACTGGAAATCAACCGGTTCTCCGCGGTTTGCGCCATGTTCTACAGAAGCAGGTATAGGAGATTTGAGAGTTCAACCATGTTCCGTCTCGGCGCCAGCAAGACCCACGGGATGTTCATGAACTTTTCAATGAAAACAGTGTTTTGGAAGACTGTCAGGCCACTTCAATTAGAAAAAGGGTTATGTCAAGGGACCTTGACTGAATGTGGTGCTTGGCAGAAAGAAAGAGAAACCCTCGAACCCTTGTCAAGTTCAAGGAAAGGCATGTGTCAAAACTGGAGGTAACTTCTTGGGACGCGTTTGGACAAATAGCACGATACCAATAATGTGAAGGTAGCCGGGTTTGACATATACCGTATACCTAGATGAAGATTTCGTAGCTCGTGGACTGTGATCCTAGACATTCCGGGTTCAACATTTGTTCAAGCCACCAGGGTCTGGCATGGGAGCGCAGGGCAAGGGGCTTGCCGAGGCGCATGCTCCGCATGGACCCGCGCATAGGCGTTCAGCAATGTTACAGCTGCTTGCGAGTCCTGGCACAAAGAGCAGCGGCCGTGGCCAGCCGCGAATGACTCTAGACTGAGGCAGAATGTCACCTGGCAAGCCCGTATTGCACTGCGTGAAGCAAGGCTTGCCACAAACTCTCCACAAGCTTCTACACTCGCACTGAAACCAGTACGACTGCTCACTACCCCGCTGCGCCCGAATTTGTGCCAACGCGCGTCGAGGAGAATGCCATAGAATGCCCTCCTGCGTGCGTAGCGCCGCTGACGCCAGACCATCAAGACGAGGCTGAGCCGGCCCCAGGCGGGCAGCAGAATAGGCCAGCAAGGCAGCCTGGCAACAAAACGCTGCCTACTAATGACTCGAGTGTTGACACTCCTTGGTGACGCGCGTGCAGGGCATTCATCATTAGTCGTGCCTGGCATGAGGCCCCCTGGCACTAGGGTTTCTCTGCGACCTGTCAGTTCATGCCATCGGCTCGCCTCCTGAAGCTGAAGATGTCTGCGGCCGAGCTCGCCTGGGCGGAGTGGCTTCGACAGCTGACACCTGGTTGTGGGTCTTGCCAGTCTTGTCAGTGTCATGGTTCTCGTTCCAAGGCACGGCACAGAGAAAACTGAGAAAAGTGATACTGTGACCACGGATGATGCCATCTGTTGAGGCAAACCTGGCAATAAGGCACAACAAGCAACCCAGGTACAAAGTATGACCCTATGAGCTATCGGCCTGATCCCTCGGCATCAATCTCTGAGTTCACCCTTAGCTTTCACCACAGCCCATCCTAATGGATTCGCAGCTTAGGCAGGTCATCTCCAGGGAACTCCTTTTTAGTCGGAGGGATGCAGCCGGGATGAACACCCACTCACTCCAAGGTACCATCAAGGGCAGCCGCCAGCACAGGCGCTGCTGGCACGCCGAAGCGCGTCAGGTGAGCGCCTTGGGGCGGCCGGGAATTCAAGAAAAGGAAGCGCAGCCTGCTGATTTGACACGTTACATTTTAAGTAGCATCTGACAAGAACTTCAACAAATGTTCTTAGTTTGAAATACACGTCCTGGAGGGTCTGCAGGGGCAATTTATGAAGCATCTGGGCCGCAAGGCTGTGTGCTAGCCGCTCGCTGGTGTATTCTTGGTGGATGCTAATCTATTATGCTCTAGGATTGCTGGGCATAAGAAGCGTGCACTTCGATCGGAACCTGTGCCATGTTCTCTGAATCTTCCTGGGTGGTCGGTTTGCTCAACAACATCCCCGGCACGAGCTCTCACACTCGCAAGCTTGTTTCCTGTCCCAACATATGGTCGACCTTGTTTCGGCCCCCGATTTTTGGCAAGCATGCAATCGTGAGCACCTTTATCAGTCCGTTCATGTTACGCGCCACAACCCATCCCCCCGCCCAAACTGCTAACATGCTGCATACGCCCTTTCAAAACATTGATATACCACATAGGTCTCACTGGCACACACGCGGGCCTTGAAAACCACCAGTTGTGACAATATGTGTACACCACGCTAACATTTGCAGAAGTAACACGGGCCCAAAAAGCCCTTTTGCCTCAGGAACAGCTGCAGCTGACTCAAGGCTGGGCAAGTTGTTGTTTTTTTCGACTTTTTGAGGAGCCCCCTTCCCTCACTCTCTGGCAACGGCGGCCCTCAGTCGTGGGGTAACTTGAGGGGACCCCGGATGCTAGCCCGATGTGGTCAGTGCAATGTTCATGACATTCCTGAAAGGGTGCCTATCTTCCCGAAATCATCCAGTCAAGGTGACCTTTGCATTGCCGACTTCAGCCAGCCGGTTGGGCAGGCCACGGGAGCGCGCAAGGTCCACCAACTCCCAGGCAGGCAGGCACCGCAGCGCCTCCGACCCACCCCATGCAAGCTGACGCTAGGCTGGGCCACATCGTGCCACCGGCCCTGGAGACAAACCAAAGGAAAACCATCTGTGGTGGCGTCCGAATGCAGTGACGACCAAGTACGAACTCGCCTTCTCCAGGTTGGAGCGGCTCATCACCTGCAACTGGCCCACAGCGTCGAACGGGAATGAGAAATGCGCTTATCAATGGCGGGCTCAGGAAAAATGCTTCTTAGCAGTAAGAAGGGCGAGCCCTTATATATGGCTCAGCGTTACAGATGGTTCAACAAATTTGTCCTGACTGGGTGTGCGCAAAGAGAAACAAAAAATACGGGCTCGAAAACTTGAGCCACGAAAGAGTCAATCAACCGTTGCGAAACCGCAAAGCGCTTGGCACTTACCATGGCTCACATCTGCCCTACGCCTCAGCCGGAACCCATGAGCCCCAACCTACCACCTGCAATGCCAACTGCACATGCCGCAGGATCAGGCACGACCCTACACCAACAGAGAGAGGACAAATGCGGAAAGTTGTGGATGGTTGACCCACCTGCCCACCCAGAGGCCCTCTCCACCACCCCAAGCAGCGCATCACAAACACTTTTACGTGGCTCGAACAGGATGCCTTGGTCTTGCAGCCCCGCGGCTGAGAGGTGCCCCATGTCCCGCCTGAATCTGTGGCCGTGGCTCGTGGCTCGCATGGGCTGGGGGGATTCTGTCATTTTCAGCTTGAGCTTCCTGCGAGCGGTCTGCATGCGCTGGCCCATGCCAGCCCCATCCTTTCTGTCCGCACAGCATGTCCGCAGGTTGAGAGTTGCTGGCGCGCGCTATGCATGGACAATGTCAATGAGCCAACTTGGAGTCCATGTGCTTCGCGCAATGCAGGTGCTGAAGGCATGGCATCGCCCAGTCAGTAATCTTGCACTGGAAGTGTCTTCTAATTCTGCGATGCGTGCAATAACATCCAAACCAACTCGGTCACTGGCAAGGGGGGTCGCCCTATGTTGCTGTATTGTTTTCACCCGCCCCTTCCGGGCCAGCATCAGGTACGTGCCAAGCGTTGTGCGCCAAGCATGCCCTCAAAAATCCCCTTGCGGGTAGGTGCAAAAAAAGAACCAAACGATTCCATTTGACCGCATCTGATCCAGAAAAAAGACAAAGCCCTTCAGCTACCCACTCACCTGCATGATCAAAGTCGTGCTTGAAACAAAAACAGGTGCCTAAATGAGCCTCTCCCGCCAATCCTCAACATGTCTACCCTCGCCCCTCGCCCTCCCGAACGCCCTGCCATTTTCGCGCCCCTCAGCCGATGCAAGCAGAGATGCCGGAGCCTGTGCAACCTCAGGCACAAACACCACGTGCCAAGAAGCATGTACGCGGCAAGCGAATGAGTGCTTCAGGACCCCAAGAATCGCAGCTTGTCATTCGCCCGGCTTTCCGTCACCAGGGACTTCCCTTTACACAAGAGAAACTTGAGGTCACGCTGCCCATTCTCTGGCTGGCACTTCGGGGTCATCTGCCAGAAGGAAGCTGCAGCATGCATCTGTTGGCTCAAACGCTCATGCGGCTGCAGGTGGGTATCACTGTGGCAAGGGCATCATAACCGTCTGCTGGCATGACGGGAAAGGTTGGAAGCGCCTCTTGAATTTCTCAGGGCAAGATGAAAATGAAGCGGTGGTTCCTACTTCAACCCAGTGCCGTGACTGAAACGGCACTCTTCTGCAAAACAAAAAAGCCGTGCGCCAAGAAACAACTTCCCTGCCCCGCGGCCCGTAAAGACCCGAGCGGCAGGTGCCTAAGACGGCCAAGGCTTTCCAAGGACTTGCTCCGATGCTCCGCCAGGACCTGGCTTACCGCGTGCTGCTCCGCCCACCAAGCGATGACCTCTGCCGTGTAGCCCGCATCCACGCGCGATTCCACGTCGATGCCGGCGTCCAGCCTCACTTGAAGCCTGTGCCTATTGCCTGCACCAGGCCGGCAACTGCTGTAGCTCAAACAAGTTGTGAAGCTTTGCGTGCTTGACACATTGCAGTTCCGAGGCGCAAAAACGCCACGATGTGGGCGTGCCCGTGGCGAGCGGCGATGTGAAGCGGGGCCCAGCCCTCGCTCTGCGCTTGTCGCGGCTCTGCGCGGGCCTCGCACAGCGCCTCCCAGGGGCAATGGCTTGGGACGGGCCAAATTTTGCTTCACAGACTGCCAAAAGTAGATGTGAACGGTGCGTTCAGGTCAGGATTCAGCTTGGTGCATGAGAGGTATTCGGAGCATGCTTCTGCGGAATATCCGAATACCGTCAAACGTCTTGTTCGCCCGGAATCCCCGGATTGTGTGCATCTAGGCAATGTAGCTTCCTTCATTGCCCCTTTGTCTTCATTGCCTCCTCCCCTCACCCCCGGGCCTGGATCATCGGCAAGTGCCCGCTCCAGGCGGCCACGTGCAGCGCCTGCGCCCCCTCCCCGTTGCTTCTCGTCACCTCCGCTGAGGCAGCCAGCAGCGCCCGTGCCACCTCCTGTCGGCATGCACGGGCTCAAAATGGGCTCTAGGCACATGGCTTCGGGGCTGAACCACCAAGATGGTTGGTTTGAGAGAAAAGGACAAACGGGCACAGCTCCCCGCTGCCGTGCAGATTTCATAAGACTGATTCAGGTACGAGCTGCAAGCTCTGTTACTTCTGAGAACATGTCCGAAACGGACATAGTCAGACATGTCCATTGAAAGGCTGCGGACAAAAACACATAGCAAGCAAGCCTTTTCAAAGAAGAAATTGATGGTGGTCATTTGGAGGCCATCCACAAGAATTCAGAAGCCCGCAGTCTCCAACGAGCCAAACAACCCGAACCAAACCCACGCCCCCGCAACATCCCCCGCTGGCAAGGTCTCCAGGTGCCCGTTGAGCGAGGCCATGTGCAGAGGCGTCCAGCCCTCCGCCTCTGAGGCGTTGGGGTCTGCCAAGTTGTCCAGCAGGCGCCGGGCCTGATGCGGCACTGACGCGAAAAGGGATGAAAACGTGAAAAAGCAAACCAACGTACAAAGTAGTATATGTATAATAAAAGTGTGTGTAAGTGCGTACGTGTGTGGGTGTGTACGTGTGTGCGTGTGTGCTTGTATGTATGTATGTATGTATGTATGTATGTATGTATGTATGTATGTATGTATGTATGTATGTATGTATGTTATGTATGTATATATGTATGTATATGTATGTATGTATGTATGTATGTATGTATGTACTGTATAGCGTGTATGTATGTATGTGCGTGTGCGTGTGCGTGTGCGTGTGCGTGTGCGTGTGCGTGTGCGTGTGCGTGTGCGTGTGCGTGTGCGTGTGCGTGTGCGTGTGCGTGTGCGTGTGCGTGTGCGTGTGCGTGTGCGTGTGCGTGTGCGTGTGCGTGTGCGTGTGCGTGTGCGTGTGCGTGTGCGTGTGCGTGTGCGTGTGCGTGTGCGTGTGCGTGTGCGTGTGCGTGTGCGTGTGCGTGTGCGTGTGCGTGTGCGTGTGCGTGTGCGTGTGCGTGTGCGTGTGCGTGTGCGTGTGCGGTGTGCGTGTGCGGTGTGCGTGTGCGGTGTGCGTGTGCGGTGTGCGTGTGCGGTGTGCGTGTGCGGTGTGCGTGTGCGGTGTGCGTGTGCGGTGTGCGTGTGCGGTGTGCGTGTGCGGTGTGCGGTGTGCGGTGTGCGGTGTGCGGTGTGCGGTGTGCGGTGTGCGGTGTGCGGTGTGCGGTGTGCGGTGTGCGGTGTACGGTGCGGTGTGTGCGGTGTGCGGTGTGCGGTGTGCGGTGTGCGGTGTGCGGTGTGCGGTGTGCGGTGTGCGGTGTGCGGTGTGCGGTGTGCGGTGTGCGGTGTGCGGTGTGCGGTGTGCGGTGTGCGGTGTGCGGTGTGCGTGTGCGTGTTGTGCGAGTGCGTGTGCGTGTGCGTGTGCGTGTGCGTGTGGCGTGTGGCGTGTGGCGTGTGGCGTGTGGCGTGTGGCGTGTGGCGTGTGGCGTGTGGCGTGTGGCGTGTGGTGTGTGGTGTGTGGTGTGTGGTGTGTGGTGTGTGGTGTGTGGTGTGTGTGTGTGTGTGAATGTGTGTGCATGTATATATGTATGTATGTATGTATGTATGTATGTATGTATGTATGTATGTATGTATGTATGTATGTATGTATGTATGCGTGTATGTGTGCATGTATGCATGTATGCATGTATGTATGCATGCATGCATGCATGCATGTCTGTATGTCTGTATGTCTGTATGTGCGCGCGTATGTATGCGTGTGTGTGTGTATGTGTCTGTGCATGTGTATGTGTATGTGCCCGTGCATGTGTATGTGTGCGTGTATGTGTATGTGTATGTGTGTGCGTATGTGTATGTATGTATATATGTATGTCTGTCTCTGTCCATCTGTCTGTCTGTTTGTCTGTCTGTCCGTCTGTCTGTATGTTATGTTATGCTATGTTAAGTTATGTTATGTTATGTTATGTTGTATGTTATGTTGCGCACGTGCATGTGCATGCGCATGTGCATGTGTACGCGCATGTGCATGTGTATGTGTAGGTGTATGTTATGGCGAGTTATATGTGTCCTTATGTCATGTCATGGTATGTTCTGCATGGTGTGCAGAGTATGTTACGATATGGCGGGTGGGTGTGTGTGATGGTAGGTCATGCTATGTGTCGTATGTATGGATGCATGTTATGCATGCATGTCTGTCTGTATATGCATGGGTATATGTATATATATGTATGTACGGGTAGGCATGTCGTGTAATGTAATGCCACGTACTGTAATGTAATGAATTGTAATGTATGTAACGTAATGTATGTAGTATATTTCGTGTATGTAATGTAGTATGTATGTAGTATATTCAATGTATGCTCTTTGTAGTGTATGTCACGAACGTATGCAATATATGATATATGCCACGTATGTAACGTATGTCATATATGTAGTGCATGTCATGTAGTGTAACGTACCGCAGCGCACGTATTGTAACGTATCGTAACGGAAGGGACCGAAACAATGCAACGCCAGGCGATGCCATGTTATGTAATGCAATGGAGTATCTACATTGTGATGTGATGTAATTCAACATAACGCAACGTAATGAATCGTACTGCAGGTTGCAAGCATGTATGCATGTTTGCATGTACCTATCGTGTGCAGTGTGTGCAATGCGCTTGTGGTATTCAAATGTAATCTAATGTAAGGCTTTGGCGTGCCTCCGGTTCCTGTGTTCAGCCACGGGAAAAACGGACCAAATCAGGCAAAGCCGGTGCTCCGGTGACGTGGAGCCGGGGGCAAAACATCCCCAGCATCGCCGAGGTTGTCGAAGCCGATTTGAAAGAAACCTTTTGCTGCATTTGGATATGTGTATGTTTTGCAACATGAGCAAGACACATGCATTTGGGCATAGCTGGCACGTGGCTCCCTGGCGCTGTTTGTGGCTCTGGAGCCTGGGGCTGAGCAGTACTGAAAGAAATCCGCGTCTAATTGTGCTAAAAAGTCATGATTTCGAACACTCAACCACCAATGGCTCACACTTGAGCCACCATGCAGCTAGCCCAATAGCATTTCAAGGGGCAGGGAAAGATCATGTTGCCCTGTTCGCGTGAGTAGGCTTCAAATCGAGAAGAGCGTGAGTGCTTGGCTGTCACTCAGCCGCGCCTTTGCAGCGTCATCCTCTTCCGCCGCATTCAGCAAGTCAACAGTGAGGTCCGGCCTGGACATTGTGGGGAGGTTTTGGGAGGTTTCGAGCCAACTTAAACTGTTTCTGCTTTCGGACACATGGACCGAAATGGCTGACTTCCGGCCAAGCTGCTGGTAGTCCAGCACCACCAGCGTCAGCTCTGTCGGCAGCTCCGCCAGGAGCCTGTGCTCCAGGAGCGGCGCCGGGGACAGCGGGCACGCCGGAAGCGCTGGCGCTGGCAGCGGCGGCCCCGGCACCAGCCGCAGGCGCAGCGCAGGGAGGCGGAGCTGCAGCTGAAGCACACGCTTCAGATCCCCGCAGGTCGCGCACTCCTCGCAGAGTGCGGAAGGCGCGCGCTTCTTCAGAGGTTTCATCCGTCTGATTCTAATTCCGAATCAGGACCCTAAATCTAAAGCGAGCAAACTCCAGCAACTAATGGATCGGAGGGTGCATTTTGGTTGGTAAAAGTTGAAGGTTCGTGTGGAGGAGCCTGACTGCTGCACAAAGGCCTTTGCAGCTGATATGACAGCTGGCAACATCTCCCCAAAAACAACCCAAAAGGAACGTTCGTCACACCTGGCAGCCAAACAGTGACGGCCCGTCGCCTGCTTGGTGCACTGAAGCGTATGTGTTGAGATGTAGCGTTGCCGCTAGACACCCAGGATGCAAATACTGTCCTACATCTGGGCAAGGAACACATGAATCAGGAATCATTGGAATTCCTAGGACCACCAGGCGGGGAAGCGCTACAGACCAGGGCGAGAGCTCAGCTTTGCGGGTTTGGCTTGGGCTTGGATTTTTCTGAAATGGCGCGCCTTCAGAGGCACCCGCGTCAGCTGCTTGCCTGAAATGCTCAGCACAACCACCTCCTCGCTGGTCTGCCGAGAAAAAACGCCCGCCATGGCCCGCACGCCTCCAGGAGGGAGTCTAGCTTTATACTCCAGGCGTTGGCCCCAGTCAGTCGGATCGAATGGTGACTGCTCAAAGAACCCACCAGAGGAGAACTTTGTTTTCGCTAAATCCAAGCGCAAGGCTCCGACTCTGCTAGGTTGCTCCGCACTTAAAGTAGGGCACGAGCTGATGAGCCCCGTGTTTGCCCCTTTCAGCCTTTCCCTTTGCTATAGGGTGCAAATGCACCCAACTCGCGGCTCGCGAGTTCAAGAGGCTGGGAAAAATGGCTGCTAGGCGGCGGGCACAACTTTGGGCCAGCCCTGTGCGGGCCTAAGGTATCCCGAAAACCGCATTCACAGACCTGCTGACCATGAAAGCTGCTTGGCTTAAAAGCCTCTCCCTCCCTCCTCTTCCCAAACTGGCGTCAGGCGACATGCAGGCCATCATCATCAGCGCAAAGACCACCCCATGAGGAGGCATCTCCGTGTCGGTCTCAAGGGCAGGCGTCCAATTGAAGACGAAGGCATACATGGCGCCTGCGCTGAATGGTGGTGGTTGAGGGTGCCCTTTGTTGAGGTTAAAGGAAAACCAAAGCAAAACCACCGTTTTGGGGGGGGGGGGGCATGCTTTGACACATACCCATTTCAAGAATGGCCTTGGGATGCATGTCTCTCAATCCCCTCACTTGGGACATGTTTGCATTGCCTCCTGTTGCCGCCCCTATCGGCAAACAGACTTTGAAAAAGCAAACTAGCTTGCTGCCCTACTGTGAATGCAGAACCTGCACAAGTAAGCTACAAACCGGAATGTAGGGATGCCTAGCAAGACGAAATGTTCATCATGGAGTGAGTGAAATCATGTGAAGTCGCCTTTCTGCCAGGTGAGGGTGCTATACATCACACAAAGCCTACCCAATGAGCATGCAGGGCATTATCTAGCTGCATTGCTGGCTCCTACGTTTACACTTCATGTCAACTGCCCGCTTGCCCCAGAAGACCCAATTTTCAACTGATTGTTTGGAGGACGGAGGCTTATACTCTACTAGGTGCTTGGCTGCATCCTCAATTGACTTCATCACAGCCACGTCTCCCACCTTCGAAGCAGGACAACAGCAGGCAAAGGCTGAGTAGCGGCGCACTTCTGCACATGGTGGTCAGCCCCTGGCGAAGACTTCGAACCAACCAACACCCGCCTCGAGAAATAGATCCACAACGACACACAGGGAACTTGGATTTCTCTCGCCACGCCATGTCGCTCCAGCCTCCATCAAGCTGGAGCCTGGCACATGGGAGGTCTCATGGTCAGCATGCAAGCAGCGAGGCGGAATGCGCTCTTGGGCCATGCAACTGACGAAATCGCCAGTATCAACCTCGCGGCACTATGCCATCAACGGCCTACAAGACCGAAGCCCCCCTTCGCCCCCAGGCTGCCTGCTGTTTGTGCCTCCGCATCCTCAAGTCACGGGGCCAGAGTACGGCACCATCCACCATGCCCTCTGCAACAATACTGGGAGACATTGGAGCAAAGAACAGTGGGCATGGGCAGGAAAATCGTTGTAGGATTCATTCCGTACACAGAACCCATGCTTCCGTATCTGCTATCTTCAAAAAAGCAGGAAGCACAGGACACTGACCTTAAATGCCGTGAGTTTGCCCCAAAAACTAGGCAGAACCATCCGCGGAGCGTCTCCCACAAACCTCGTAAAACATGCTGGGCTGATCTGCTACGTGCCTTCTCCTTGCAGGAATTGAACCAAACCACCGCTAACCACTATGCAGTTTGCCTGTTACGGCCGAAGCAGCCACTGAAAAAAAAAGTCAGAGGCACGCATCGAACGGCAACAAAAACTGGGGCTACCCACAGGCGCATCATCTCCGTAGTTCTCCTCCCACACCTCGCAAGTGAGGCTGGAAGTGGTCAGGGCCATGCCCAGCCCGTCTTGGTTTCGACCCATCCATGTTGTGTTCCGGCATGGCTGCACATGGGTTGAGGCCTAGTACCGTGCCTGTACCATGCATCCCTCGAACTGCCAGGATTCACAGCCGCAACCAACGCCCAAAAGCCGCAGCTCGACAACAACCCTACCCTTGACTTCATCAAATCACCCTGGTCCTCCCATTCTACTGGATCCTCCCACCCCTCCATGACCACGCGTCTCTGCGCGCCAGCACGAACAACATCCCTTAGGCCCAGGCCAGGGTGATGATGAGCAGGGCGAAGACGAGCACGCACGCCTCAGCCGAAGCTTACGCAGAAATGAACGGTAACAGCAACAAACATACAAGTAAAAGGGCACGTTCGTCGTCACCTGCCTGCCACTTGTGGGAGGGTGTCCTTCACTAGCTCCAGTACCGTACATGCTGGGGCAAGCCGCTGACATATCGAAGGGCACCAGGTTACCTCCGAAGTACCTTAGCCACAGGACAGGTGGGAGACTTCCCACGTCACTTGCTCAAAGCGCAATGCGGTGAAACACCAACCTGCATGGTCAGTGGCCTAACTACCGGAAATTCCAAGCAACAGTGACTGTGGAGTTTTGGAACTGAGCTGCCATGCTGCGACATCTGACTTCATATTCCTTGATTCTTTGCAGCTCACTCCGCTGCATGGCTCAAGGAGGGGCCTTCCAGAAAACCCTGAACGGTAGTCACACCCCGCTCACAATAGCCCTGGGATTCTTGATCCTGAGAGCCCGGCAACGTGGAGTTCTCACTCACTGGGGCAAAGCTTGTTGAGTCCACGCCGCCCTGCGAAAACAAAACGTGATTGCTCCAGACACCCAACCCTCCGGAGGTTGCTTGCACAGGGCCCAGCTAAAGAGAGATGAGGCAGACAGCCTACGCCAGCCATAACAGGCCAGGAAGTGCGTGTGCCTGTGCCTGCGCGCGTGCAAGTGCGGGCGCTTGCTCGCGCCTGCGCATGTGCACCTGTTTGAGCAGTTGCTTGCGCATGTTTGCGAGCTTGCTTGTGCGTCTGTTTGCACGCTTGCTTGCGCGAGTGTTCGCTTGCTTGCGGGCATGTTCGCGCGTGCTGCCGAGTGCATGCGTGCACGCTGGTGACCGTGTTCGCGCGCGCATGCTCGTGCGCGCATGCGGGTGCGGGTGCAGGCGTGTGGAACTGCATATATGTGTCCATTGTTTTTCCTGTTGAAATACAGTTTGCTAAATTGACCCCACGTTTCAAAGCAAAAATGCATTGTGTGCTATGACTTGTTTCTAGTTCCTTACTACCTCCATGTTTCTGCCTCTTTCCCTTCCGAGACATTGCCTGCGCTACGAAGCCAGAGGCGATCGCCACCTGAGCGCTGGGAGCAATCAAATGCAGAACTGTTCCCATGCAAGCTGGTTGCGCCCAGCTGGCCACACTGTACACCAACCAATAGATACGTATAACCTTTGAAAAGAGACGAGGACCTACAAATACCAGACACAAAATCGCGCTAGCAGCATCGCCACAATCGCCACCATCACCGCAAGCACCACCATGACCACAACACCACCATCATCACAATCACCACCATCACCCTCGACCACCGCCCCCACTGAGGCACCCTTGCCACAGGCTCACTGTGGCTTCCACCAGCTGCAAAAACAACCGCACCCACCACCATGGCCACAGCCACAACCGACAGGACCGGCGGCGGTGGAGGCAGCAGCGGCACGACCAGCAGCAACATCCCACCAAATGCTTGCGGCGTGAACAGCCCCTCAAGACCCCAAGGTACGAGTGCCAGTTGTGCTCAGGGCTTGGCCAGGTACATGATGGTAAACTTCATTCCGAACCTCGAAGCGCCATGCCCAGTGAAAAACACACACAGCCTCGCAAAACAACAAACACCACACAGCTTCACAAGATATGCCCTGGTTGCAACGGTGCTCAGCCCTGTACATGTAGGACAGGAGGCTGGAGGAGAACTTGTTGCGGACCGTATGCTCTGAGACCATCCAGCCTCAGGCTCCATCTTCCCGAGCGATGTCGCAATCCAGTCAAGCCAATGCGAGCCCACATCTCATTCCAGGGGCCCGCGCACTCGAAGCAGGAGAAGAGCAGGGACGTCGCGAAGCCTTCCGCTGGGGTGCAACACCTTCATGGACCTTTCGCAAAGTAAAGCAAGCGTGGCGTCAATAGGCATTCCAAAAACCTGAGCAGCCCATGCACCGCGACAGGCCATCATGCAGGACCGGTCGCAAAACCAACACACGTGTCCCTAGAGCTGCTTGCCGCAACCCGGCCTCCGGTGACCCTGCCCAGCATGAGGATCCAATAGCTCTTCCTCAGCGTTCATGGCTCAAATCACACGCCAAACGCCACCTCCACAGCCAATTGGGAGACAACTGATGGCCAAGTCAACATGAGTTCCCGATCTACTTTTCCTAGCCGGTGGACGCAAAATTGACGCAGCCTGACATACTGCACATCCCCAGCCAGAGTCTCAAATAAGATATTGTAGAAAGCTCTCGCAAAAGCTCTCTGGGCCGAAGGAAAAGCCTTGCAAGAAAGCCTGTGAGGTGAATCTTCTGAGCCCCGAGCCAGTGCTTTGTGGCGCAAGATGCCATGTACAGGAGGCCTCGAGGTGATCGATCAGCATAAATGACATGGAAAAAGTTTGGGTGTGGGAAGCAAAGCCTCAAGCGTCTGATGGCTTCAGCAACAGAAACGCTTTCAAATGAGGTTGCTCGGCCCTGAGTCACTGGACTGCGTCCTTTACTCTCAGCCCTCAACAATCCGGCAGACCACATATGTAAAATACATTGGCGCGTGAAACTCAAGCGGCCTCCTGAAGGGTGACACTTTCGCCCCGAGCCCATTCTGCTTCTTCTCTTAGGCTGCTGGCAGTATGCAATGCAGCCGCGCTTGCGGCCAAAGCGATCCGCCAGGCCGCCTACAAAACCTCGAACAGCAATCACTGGGGGGGGGGGGGGGAATTGATGTCCAATGCAAGTTGCCAATGGCTTTGGAGAAGGGGTGCGTGAGCTCGCAATTGCATGCTTCATAGGGAATATGCAAATCTGGGTAAGCGCAAAGGAAGGATGCGCACAGCATATGTCACAACCCCGACCCCTGGCCACTCCAACCGAAGTGCGGCATCAAGAGCCCCCTTTTGCCACTTCTTCCGTGTGGCGAGTGCCCCTTCTGAGGAGGCAGTCCGTCATCCCCATTGTCCAAGCTGAAACGGGTCACCTGCTTGTCGCGCGCGAGTTTCCAAATCCAGCCGCAAATCTGCGTCAAGCTGAGGCCCTCCCCCATTTCACAGGCCTCAAAGAGCCTCATCTGAGGCCCCCGGCAGCTGCACAAGAGCGCTGACCCGAAGCCAGCGACAAAGAGCTGGGCGATCTCATGGGAGCTGAAGCCATAGGCCTCTAGGGAATCCCCCCTTGCACTCTCCCAGGTGATGCCCGGGCAGAAAATGAAGGACCTCCGACTCTTGCCTCTGGTAAACTCCGCATCCAAGAAACTAGCAGGAATGCCCACCAAACACAAAAAAACACAAGGAGCATCGGCTTCGGGTAATGTGCGGAAAATCTCCGCCAAGCTTTCCTCTTGGTTGATGCACAAAGATGAGACTAAGTGCCCATCCGTTGGCGTGCGTCATGCTTGTGGTTTCGACGAGGGCTCCCATGAAAACGTGCATTGCCACGTTGTGGCAAACAGAGGGTTCTGGTGGACGTCTTGATTGAGAGTGCACTCCAGGTTTATAATGACAATACTTGGCCCAAAGGCCTGCCAAAAACAGAGTACCGTGCCAGCCTGTGTGCGTAAACCATCTTGGGTTCCTTTGAAGTGTTTGCCATTGGTCCTGCAGCCCGCGCCTCGTACAGGGCATAGACGTAAGGTCCCTGCAGCCAGTCTGCTGCCACGCAGAGCGTCCAGGCACTCAGGTAGGTTGCCTAAGCTTCCGAATGGTGGGTGAGCGCAGTTTGTGGAACAATTCTGCCTGTCAGTGTGTATGGGTGTGTGCGTGTATGCGTGCGTGCGTGCGTGCGTGCGTGCGTGCGTGCGTGCGTGCGTGCGTGCGTGCGTGCGTGCGTGCGTGCGTGCGTGCGTGCGTGCGTGCGTGCGTGCGTGCGTGCGTGCGTGCGTGCGTGCGTGCGTGCGTGCGTGCGTGCGTGCGTGCGTGCGTGCGTGCGTGCGTGCGTGCGTGCGTGCGTGCGTGCGTGCGTGCGTGCGTGCGTGTGCGTGCGTGCGTGCGTGGGCGTGCGTGGGTGGGTGGGTGGGTGGGTGGGTGGGTGGGTGGGTGGGTGGGTGGGTGGGTGGGTGGGTGGGTGGGTGGGTGGGTGGGTGGGTGGGTGGGTGGGTGTGTGTGTGTGTGCGTGTGTGACACTGGAACGCTCGACGCCGGGAAAACACTCGACGCTAAAACTCGACGCTGGAACTCTCAACGTCGGGCAACACTGGGCTCTGGGGAACACTCGTGTCTGTGTGTGTCTTTGTCTGTTTGTTTGAAAGTTTGTTTGTTTGATTGCATGCTTGATTGTTTGTTTGTTCGTATGCTTGATTGATTGTTTGTTTGTTGGATTGTTTGTTTGTGTGTTCATTTGTTTGGTTGGTTGTTTGTTTGTTTGTTTGTTTGATTGATTGTGTGTGTTTGCGGTTTCTGTCTGTTTGTTTGCTTGTTTGTTTGTTAGTTTGCGTGTTTGCTTGTTTGTCTGTTTGTTTGTTTGGTTGATTGTTTCTTTGTTTGATTGAAAGTGTATTTGTTCGTTTGTTTGTTGGTTGGTTGATTGTTTGTTGGTTTGTTGGTTTGTTGGTTTGTTGGTTTGTTGGTTTGTTGGGTTGTTTGTTTGTTTGTTTGTTTGCTTGCTTGTTTGCTTGCTTGTTTGTTTGCTTGGTTGTTGTTTGTTTCTGATTGTTTCTGCGTGTTTGTGGTTGTTTCTGGTTGTTTCTGCTTACGTGTTTGTGTTTGTTTCTGGTTGTGTCTGTTTTGTTTCTGGTTGGTTGCTTCTGTGCGTTTGTTTGTTTAGTTGGTTGTTTGCTTGTTTGTTTGTTTGTTTGCTTGTGTGTGCGAGTGTGTGTGTGTGTGTGCTTGTTTTTGTTTGCTTGTGTGTGTGTGTGTTTGTTTTTGTTTGCTTGTGTGATTGTTTTTTGGTTTCTGGTTGTTTCAGTTTGCTTGTTTCTGCTTGGTTGTGTATATGTGTTTGTTTCTGCGTGCTTGAGTCTCGTTGTGTGTTTCTGCTTCCTTGGTTCTCTTTGTGTTTCTGGTTGGTTGTTTCTGTGTCTTTAAGTTATGGTTGCTTGCTTCTGCTTGTTGCTTCTGTTTGTTTCTGCTTGCTTGTTTCTGTTTGTTTGTTTCTGTTTGGCTTCAAAGCGACGCCAAAGCCACAACCCCAAATTTGCCAAAACTGCCGTCCAATGAATCTTGGGCTGCCCTCCTTACAACAAGCCTGGCAGCCTGGGACTGGATAGTTCGCTTCGCCAAAAAAATATATCCCGGACCCCCGAGACGGCTTCCGCGATTGCTTGGGCGGCCGCAACCTAACTCAACGGCCCAAGGAAAATCATGGAGCCACCCCTTTGTCACTCCGGAGGCTCGGACTCGCTCTGAAGCCATGAGGCCAACGCCACTGTTCAATGTCCATCCGTGCAACAGCACGGCTGCCTGTCATCTCACATTCTACGGCGCACAGAACCTCGTGTTCAAGGTCGCTACGTTGCTTCCATCTACCTGAGGTCTGAGTGTCTGAAGGCAGACTGACTCACAGGCACGGGCACAGCCCCAAAGGGTCCGCGTACCCTGTTTTTGCAGTGTTGCGGCTGTTTGTTGCACAAACTCGTGGTTTTGAGAGCTGTCTTCCCCTTGCGGTGCTGGCAACGCTGGTCGCTTCTGATGCGTCGGTGATGTAGCCATTGGTGATGTTGGTTCTGCTCTCCTCTTCTGCTTTGACTGTGCTGCGCTCTGTCTCTTGCCTTCTGATGCTGCGCTTGTGGTTGTTGTATCTTTCTGTGATGCGGGTGCTTTGACTGCTGCTGGCTCTTCCATGGACCTGTGTGTACACAGTCAAGTAGTTGCTAGTTGCTGGTTGTAGTTGTGAGGCATTATCTGCCTTCTGACTGCCCTTGTTCTGATAACCTTGTTGAGATCCCGATGAGGGACTCGCCTGTTGTTGTATCCTTGCCAAGCCAGATCCCGTTGTAAAACCTTGGCTCTAGTCTTGGAAATTGTTTCACTGTTGGAAGCATGTGCTGCACTGTTCACGATGTGTGCGCTGTGTCGAACCAACTAAGCCATGAGTAGATGTTTCATTGACATGTCTCTGTTGTAGTTTTGCCTGGTCTGTGCCGAGGGTGTTCTGACTTGCGCAAACAGTGTTCTGTGCGCTCGCTCTACTCCTCCTTGTGATTGTGAGCTGTATGCGCCTGAGTTCCTTGTGGTGATGTTGCCAGTCCTGACGAATGCTGTCAGGAAGCCTTCCTGATCTGATTGTAGTATGGCGTGTGATGTTCTTCCACATTCAATGATCTGTGACTGCATAGTCAAAGAGTCTGTTTGCTGTATTACCATGATCATCCCAGATTGGATGTCAATTGCTGTGAGGATTGGATGTACGTTGCGGTCATCAAAGCCTGTGATGTAGCCGAAGTTAAGCTGTATGATTGGAAGCTTGCTGTGTTGCTTTGGGTGATTGTTTTGCGCGCTTGTACTGCTTTTGCTTTTGTGCCTTGTTGTTGTTCCTCATCATCTCACTCAAGTTGTGTTGGAAATTCCGGACGTTCTTCGAAGTTTGTCCAGCCTGTCCAAGGCTTATCTGATGTCTTTGCCGGCTGTGTTGTCCACTCATCTTCTAACAATCTGATGTTGCGCTCGCCTCCTACTATTTGTAGCTTGGTCTGTCTCCATGGTGTGAGTCGCTTGATGTCTGGCCCGTCATGTGTCTCCTCTGGTATGTAAAATGCTGTGCGTGGCTCGATGTGTACTCTCTTCCAGTATGGGCCTTCTCCGCACCAGTAGTTTAATTAGGGTGTATTTCTGAAGGATGCGGAAGTCCATGTCCAGCCTTTGGTGGGGTGCGGTGCTGCTGTGTCACTGGTTGTTGGTGGTGTTGTTTTCTCATCCAATCTCTTGCGTTGTTTGTACTGGATCACTTGTGGTGTGACCTTCTGTGACTGTGTCTTTGCTGCACACTGTCGCTGTAGTGTCTCTGGTTAGTCCTGAATGCTGTTTCTCCTTTCCACATTTGCTGTTGTGAATGGTGTGGCATTTCCATTATTTGACACTTGTCCTCAAACGTGTTCGTTATACCATCCTGGAATCTGGCGGTTGTTCTCCTGTAGTCCTCAAGTTGTTCTTCTGGGACTGGACACGGTGTTCTTGATGGTGTGAAGAGTGTCTTTCTGTATTGCCTGTGCACTCTGACAAGTTTGCCTTTTGTATTGAACTGCCAGCAATCGCCTGCATATCCTGTATCTGCAGGACCTTGTGGTGTGAGTGCTGCGGTTGGCCCTATCATGCCAATTTGTCCTTGTTCTGTGTTGTGTATCTGTAGCTTTGTTCCTTTTGGCAATGCTGTGATTTCTGCTTGTAGGAAAAAACATGCCATTTCGGTTCTCCAGTGTGCTGTTGAACCCTTTGATGTGCTGCAATGCTGTGATTGCTGCTTGAGGCCATTTCTGTTCTCCAGTGTGCTGATGTGCTGTAGTCTTGGATTGTCATCCAGTGTAAGCCCTGTCTTTTTGTCTCAGCTCCGTGAGCTTCGGCGCTCAGAAAAATTCGGGCTATCTCAGCTGGTAGCCTGAGCGGTGAGCAAAGAGTGGAACATTTGCATTGACACCGGCGCGCTTGCCAAACATCCCATGCGGTGTCTAAGCTATGTTTACGTGGCCCTGCATTCAAACAGATGTAGTTTGCCTGCTTCTGGGGGGGGGGGGGCAAAAAAAAGGAGAAAAAAGCAGGAGGTCTCTTTTTTGTTGCTGTTCTTTTTTGTTTTTTTCTCTCTCTCTCTCCCCCCCTTTCCAGATCAGAGTCAGGCAATAGTACGACCTCTTTCGACCGTCGTACACGCAGAAGCAAGAACGACTTCCTTCGAACGCAGACGCAAGATCAGATGAAAGACTTCTTTCGAATGCAGGATGCTTTACTCAGACAAGCAAGAATGACATCGTATCACGGTTTTCCCCCTTTTCCTAACTGTGAAAAAACAGGCCCGCATAGCGTCCCTTTCTGAAGGGTTAAGAGGGGCCTTGCGCAGGCGCATTCTCGTCTGCGAAGCGACAAGTCATGCAGCACGAGGCGCCATGAAGCGATGGAAGTTCTTGGGCCACTCCGCGCGGCTGGGAAGGGCACCGTAGCCCAGCAGTCCCGTCAGCAGCGCGAGGGGCAGGATCGTGGCGTGGTAGAAGGACCTCAGTTTGCATCTGGAAAGAAACGTTCCACTTGTTGCAAAGGTTCCACAGTTTGCTCAGAATATGTTGTACGAAAAAGTGGGCTGCCCTGAACATCCCTTTCCACGCGTGGAATGCATTACAACAAGAACGCCTTGCACGGGCAAAACGGTCATGCAATCCATGACGCAAACAACAAGCAACAGCTGCTACTGCCTGCGCGGCTCTAGTGAATTACCCCACCCTCACTGGTCCAAGGTCCAAGCCAGCCAGCACGTGATTTCACTGAGTTCTCAAGCCTTACGACCTCAGACTTGTCAGGTCCCCGGGCTGGCTGAGCACCTCAGGCATATACTTGCCTGACAGGAAGACCTCAGAATCGCTGCCGCTCCCAAGGGGTTGGCCACGCACCTTCACAGCTTCCGAGGAGCAACCCACAGCCCGCAATGTGCTGCTTGCCCTGAAAGCCCTGTGAATGGAAAGCTCCCCTTATATAGAGACCCCAAGCAAATGGCCTGCAATTGGCCTTCCCACCCCCCCCAACACCAACCACCAACCACCAACCCCCCCGCTTCTTTGCCGCTGGGCTCCCGGGCAAATGGCGAGCGATGCAGCTGGATTGATCGGAGGGACGGCATGGCGCCGTCTTTGCTGCGGTAGTCGAAATTGGGGTTATGTCCTCAGAGGCTCAGTGCAAAAAGTTTGCAAGTTCGCAAACCCGTTGAAGGGTCATGCTCTCCGGGTTGAGCTGTTTACCACAGCATGCAAGCATACCCTCATTCTTGTTGGCGGCGTGCCACGAAATGCAAGCCATGCTCTGAGCAAAGCAACCGACAAGTCAAAGGATCCAAGTATCACAACCGAAATCTCACATCCATCTTGGAAATGTGATTGCCACGGGCAGCAAAAACGAGGCAGGCATGCTCAATAGAAACAAGCATCCCCTCACAATCCATGTAAATTGGAAAACCTCATTTACGACATTTACCCCATTCCATCGAATAGTGCGACCCCATTGAGCATCTTTGGAACTGGCAAAAGCGGCGCTTGTCTAACTCGCAGGGCTGCCCCGAAAGTACTTAGTCACTTGGACCGGGACAAACGCCTCGAAACGTGTACAGAATGCCATGCTCGGCTCGCGGAAAACACAAAGGAGCACAGCACGAACCGACTCCCCCCTATCTATTCCCAGCCAGGGCGCATACGGAGAACCGCCAAGGCCCTTTGAGCCAAAAGGCGGGTCTCCGAGCAAGCCGGCTTCTGTTCGACTGGGAAACCTGGGTCCAACCAGCGGGCCTGACCAAACGCAAGTGACATCATGCAAAGAACTGGGCCAAGAGTGCAGGCAGTCGACTTTGCTTACAGCCAGGGCAAAGTCAAAGGCAACCTAGGCGTTTGAACATGTCGGTGAAAGGCACCCCCCCCTCCACGCGCGACTTGCGATGCGCCACCTCAGCCTGCTGACTAATAAAGAGCCGCATCTGTCCCATTGGTTCAACAAAAATATTTGACCTTTCAACTGAATCCCTGGGAATTGCGAACTTCCGGGCTTTCAAATGGATTCAGACCCGCCAGGGATCAACGTGAACTACAGATCTGGCGGTTCCTCGCATGGCACAGCATCCCGGATCGAAGACGAGCAGGCTGAGCGAGTCTCTTCTGCGCGCCACGACGCAACGAACCAATCAGATTCGACCTTAAGGGTTTCTTAGAAGGGTTTGTGAAACTCGTGTGGAAGGTAGAGAGTCCTAATCTCTCTCCTGAAAAAAGGCCATGACCCACAAGTGACATGGAAAAACGGCATTCATCCTGGCTAGTCGGTTGCTTCAACGACCTCCAGCTGGCATGCTCTCCTTTTTCACATCTCGCATTGGCTTCGCAGCGCAGCGGTTTTGCAGACCTGAGCCGCAGGGCCAGAGCGATCTTAAGTCATGTGGAGTGGAGGCAGAACTCAGAGAGTCAACACATGTACGCGCATACATATATATATATATATATACATATCATATATATATATATTAATGCGTGCATTATATATCCAAGCTATTTTGCCACGCATGCTTTGAACGAGGCACTTGAACCCACAAAGTCTTGAACAGCTGAAAAGATGGAACGGGCATGGACTTGTTTTCAAATCCGCCGCCAAGCCGCTTTTGCCAGGCGTCTCTGAGCCAAGCGTGGCGTTTGTGGGCGTGTCCACAAGCATAGGCCCATGTTAGGCCGACTCGGCGGGAAAACCCCCTGCTTGCGTGGAAGCGACTTCGTGCGCTTATGACGCGAAGAAAAGGCCCCCGTCAACCTCGGAGCACAACCGTTGGACGTTACGAGTACAAAGGAAGCGGCTGCCTCTGTGCTCCAAGGGCGAAGGCTTTTGACTGGGGCCTGTGTTCACACATGCGGTGGTTTTTGCCATGCCCGGACGAACTGAGCCATAGGCCCAAGCCGTCACGGCATGTCATGCGGCAAGACTTTACAAACTGTCGGTAGCCGCTCGCCTCACTCGCACAAAACCGAACGGCGGGCAGGTTGGCCCGGGCGAGGGGAGGAGGTCTTTGCTTCCAGCCCGCCCAATCTCCAAGATTCTGGAAATCGGCTCTGAAGAAGATGGTACACTGTCATCGAAGCCAAACTACCCTCATCAATGGATTCTCCGGGGCTCGGCTTGTTGACATGCCACCACCATCAAGACCAAAGCTGCGGCTATCAGCAGCCTCTTTCCGAATCTTGTCTTTGGATGCCGTCATTGAAAAACGACCTACCTACGTCCTGCCTGCCCCTGCGATGTGTTGCAAGTCTGCATGTCAGTCACACCCCTTCCGAAACACATGCTCTCCAAGCTGGCAAGCAGTCGTCCCTGGAACCAGCACGGCCCAGGTGCCACCTGCCCATGAACCGCAGGGGCAGTCAGCTAGATCTAATCAAATGCATCCGGCAGCTCATCCTCATCTAGGTCAGTCAGCACCTCACCGCATGAGGCCCAAAAAAAATCCTTTTGACTTCAAACAATCTGCTGTTAAATGGGATCCTTAAAACTAGCTGGTTGAAGCCAATGTCGATAGGTTTTGCGTGCGCTGCTCCAGAGCAGCTTAAGCTGGCTTGGGATGTCTGCATGGCGATTGGCCGCCACGGCCAGGGGAGCGTCAAAGCCACAAACCCAAGGCATGAGCATTTACATAGGCCACATAAGCGTCGATGTGCCGTCGAGCTGCTTGCACAGGCACTGCTGACCGCCTGATGCAAAAGCAGCCTCTGGATGCACCTTGGTGCCGTGCGGACATCCAATCTGAACCTTTGGACGCACAATAAGCGGCCCAACGACCTCAACCCCGACTCATTGAAAATTAACTTCCGGGAAGGGTCGAATTGAGCAACAATACCATGGAGCTAAGTGAGCGGTTTTCTCTCTCTCTCTCTCTCTCTCCCCCTCTCTCTGTCTGTCGATACGTCTAGAAGGTCTTGACTCAGCAAGGCAACAAAAAAGACACCGACATCAAGTGGGAGCCACAAAGGTTCCACCTTCATCCTCGGCCGAGGCATCCAGACATGATGACACTTCAGCTACTTCAAGTGCAGCTGTTGGTGGCCCGCACTTTGGCGACGAATTGACTGGACATACAGGGCGAGGGGCATGAACATAAACCCTTCAGTCCACGGAGTTTTAGTTTTCCCTGCACTCTCCGCAGGCCTACAGCAGCCGGCCATCGTTTCGCACCTTCCCCCACATGAAAACAGATATTGATAGAAGTGTATGTTCCCTCCAAAGTTCTCAAAAGTGTCTCAGGTCTTTCAGCCCCAGCCAAATCACTCAAACTAGATCTAATTACAATCCCGAGCTGTAAGATCCGCACAAACCGTCCCACATGATGGCACCCGCCCTGCCCAGCTTCTGTATTGGGGTTTGGCGCCAGGGCACAGCGGCAGGCCAAACAGCCGAAGTCCCGCACAATGACATCGTTCTGCAAGAGGTTCAGGATTTTCAAGTTCTGAAGGTCTGTGAACAACTCGGGAGCTGCAGCCTCAGCTACGGCTTGGCTCTTGGCTCTTTGCAGCTAGCAAGAGCCTCTCCTCTCACCTTTTTGTGCACGAGCCATGTCTTTTAAGGAGAATAGTCTGCCAGGACGCCCCAGCCCCAGTACTACGCTGTCGCTTTTCCGCAACAGCGCACCCATCGTCGCATAGACTATAGACAAGTAAGAATATGTGTTTTCTCCTCGCCATGCACTCCCAATGTGTTCACCCACATACCGCGCACACGCTCAAACGCCACAGATTGCCACAAAGCGGACCGAGCAGCTCTGAGCTGATTGTGAGAGAGGTCGAGCAGCTCCATTCTCCAAAGGCCATCAAAGGCCCCTGCCTGCGGAAAGCGGAAGGCGCACGCCTTCGGGGGTGGGAGTGACTTCGACGAAATCCGGATGCACCGGAAATGCGAGCCACCTGCCGTTATATAAGTCACACAAGCGGGGCTGACAGCATGAAGTGACCCCGAGTGACAAGGCTCAAGCTGCATCCCATGTTCAGGGGTGCTTTGATGGTGACTTGGCTTCATAGCGATTCCCAAAGAAGTTCTCTGTGGGCAAACTGTGTCAGCCTTCTCCCTGAAGCTACGCCTGCTCCCACTGAAAGGTGTGACGGAGAACAAGGCCACCCACGGCGTGGTGGAAACATAATATCTTGACCAAATTTGGGCCATGCGCTACGTAAGCCTTTGTTGTGCTTCGGCAAACCGCAGTGACCACACATCCTTAGCCCGCTGTGGCTTTCCAAACCCCGACCCAACAAGCAAAGCTTGCAACATGGACATACTATGGTATCCGACCCATGCCAGTCAGCAACAACAGACGCTGATTAGCTGGACTCCACACCAAACACAACCCTCGCCCACTCAGCCGCTCCACTCACTTGCTCACCCGACCCGGGCGGCCCAAGCGGCCTGAATCTCCTTGATGCGATTCTGCCGCAGGCTCAGCACCTCCAAACTCTGCAGGTCCGAGAAGGCCCCCTGCGGCAGCACCTGAACCCCCGAACCCGAGAACTGCAAAGCCGTGACCTGGACGGATGGGCCGAAAAGAGGTGTCCAAAACTGGAGGAGAGATCAAAGCGGATGACAACCTTACAAGGCTCTCTAACTCGCCCGAGTGATCCCAAGCGATCCCAAGTGATCCCGGGTGAAGGAGGGAATCTTTAAGAGAGAGAAAGAGAGAGAGAGAGAGAGAGAGAGAGCGAGAGAGAGAGAGAGAGAGAGAGAGAGAGAGAGAGAGAGAGAGAGAGAGTCCTTAAAGCCTCAACCCACCTGTGTCTTCCCAGTAGGCCTACATAACCTGCCCCAAGCAGTGCGAAGTGGCCCAAATATGATGACTCAGCATCAAGAAACGCTTAGGTACTGTCGAAGCTGTACTTTGCGCGCCGTTAGCCAAAGAAATGCCTCACAACAGGAGCAAGCGCTGCCATGTACAAAACTAGCTTTGCGATGGTCCCGTGTGCACTCCGCGTCTCCAGTCCCATCTTTGCTCATTTTGGACTTCCAAGGCTGCAAGCGTATCCTCTCCCTCCTGACTACACACTTCTCTCTCACAACTAAACCCCTTTCAAGATTGTGAGACATTGTGTCGACCATCGCGAAGCTGACACACGCAATGCTTTGAGAGGTCAAGGTCCACATGGCATGCCCTTGGTCTCCAACAGCTGCACCAACCACGCGACCCCTCCTTTCCGGAGACAATGAGGGACAAACACAAGCAAACCTATGCAGCTCAACATGTCGAGCATGCCCATGCGCGCGCGCCAAAAACGCAAATCCCCGACAGCAACCCAGAAAGAGAGAGAGAGAGAGAGAGAGAGAGAGAAAGAGAGGGAGGGAGAGAGAGAGAGAGAGAGCCAGAGCCAGAGCCAGAGCCAGAGCCAGAGCCAGAGCCAGAGCCAGAGCCAGAGCCTCAAGGCCCATTTCTCCTGCCTCCAAGCGGTTGCCCGACAGGAGCAACTTCCGCAAGCTGAGGCCTTTAAGGACCGGCAATGCCTGGCTCACCGGTGGATGTGGGTTCCAGTCTGCGGTCCCAATGAAAACAGCCGCACATTCACGGACAGCTCGCATCATAGAAATGGCGAAGCACTGCACGTCTGCTAAACATGATGAAAGCAGGTATGAACGCACTTCTTGGCGCAGCTGTTGCCGACATGTGTTGCTCGTCCCATAGGTGAAGAGTGGCCGTCTTCAGCCGCCGCAAAGTGCAAGTTGGACGGTCTCTCCTACCGCCACTAGGCCGCTTGTCCCGCCTCCAACAGATTGTTCGAAAGGTCGATCTCCTGGAATCAAGAACGGTCAACCGTATGGTTCTACATGCGTGCTCAGGAAGTGGACATGGGATCGTCCTGGGTGGTCTGCCAAAAGATCCACCAGCCTGTCCTCAATGTCTTGTTTGGATCCCCAGCTTCCAAACTAGCTACTAGCTCTTGCCTCACCGACCTCACCGCCCTCAAATAGGAGATCGAACGCCAATTGCTCACAACCGTCAAACCTTGACACGTCCGGCCCTGTTGTGCAGCTTAGTCGTTGGAGGGGAACCCGATCCACAAAACAAACACACTGATGAAGTGCTTGGACCACGTGGTAAATAGAAGAAGCTGAATAATCATGAATTCTGAATACCGCACCATTCCTCCCCAAGTCAGCCACCATTGGTGGCCAAATTGCAACCCACCATTGTCCTCCATACGGCCCAGCTGGAAGCTTGCTGTGTGCAGCTGGCAGGATTGAAGCCGGAGCCGCACCAAGCCCTGGAGGCCCTGAGTATGCCGTGCAAAATTCAAAGCCAGGGTGCCAAATGCCTCCTTACAGTCGTTCCAGCAGGAACCCACGGGCAAGCCACCCATTTTCGGGACGCCAAGTTCTTCACACGCCAACATGAGCTGAGGGGTGAGGCATGGGGAGCATGGAACCTAGTATGGTCTGCCAGCCCGCCTGGAAGAGTCCCAGGGTTACTGACCGCAGCGGGTTCCATGATAGGTCCAGGGACCGCAGCCGCGTCAAGGCGCGGAAAAGGAGGGGCTGGAAGCTGAGGCTCACGTTGCCTGCCAACCCGGTATCAAGTACATTCCCCATTGGAAGTGCCGCACTTCCAAGCAGTGTCAAGCAGTTCTTCCAGAGCCCTTGCCAAAACTGCACATCAGCCGGAATGGCAGAATAATAAACCCAGGAGGCCCCTGAAGTAAGTACAGGGTGCAACAGCCTGACAGGAAGGCCAAGGCCAAGCCGCCAACTTCTAGTACTCGCCCCTCTGCCCAAAGATGCCGGGCCAAGTGAATGTCAGTTTTTCATCCGCAACTGAAACAAGGAAACAAGATGCCAGGGCGCGCAGGGAGAGGTGCAGCAGGTCTTTGGGCAGCTCCAAACTGCCCAGGGGATTGTGACCTGGGCACCGTCCATGATTAGACGGCAAATTTCCTGTCACCTTGCAGGCAATCTCCTCATGTTCTTTCTTGGTGTTCTTCTTGCTGTGCTGCACGTGTGTGGGGGCGTGTTGGTTCCAAGCGGGCAAAGGCATCAAACACCTGTGTCTAGCTCACCTGTCTCTGGCGCACAAGTCAGCCCCAGCAGGCTTGCCTCGAGTCTTGGCACGCTGCGAGAGCTTTCAGTGTTCGAAGTTTGTGGCCATGTGTGTGTGTGTGTGTGTGAACGGGCGTGTGTCCCACTGCCAACTGTAACAATGCAAATCCCATTCTCAACCTTGGTGGCTTACAATGTGTGGGCAATCCTGGACATGCATAGGCTGCCAAATGCTTACATGCATAGGCTGCCAAACACTTAAACTTCGAAACGTAATCACGCGCATCCGCGCATGCCAAGTCGAGGCATTACAAAATAACCCTGGCAACAGCAGCAGCAGCAGCAGCAGCAGCAGCAACAGCAGCAGCAGCACCAGCACCAGCACCAGCAGCAGCAGCAGCAGCAGCAGCAGCTTCAGCTTCAGCAATTTCCGCAGCAGCAGTGGCAGTCGTCGTATTTGCGTTGGCGCCCGACAAGGGCCACCGCTGTCTTTTTAGGGGAAATTCAGGGGCACACTCCCGGCAGGACATCTCCCCCCCTCCAGCCCGCGAGCGCATCCGTGTCCAGGCGGCTGAGGTCCAAGGTCTGCAGACCCCAGTGCCTGTCACTGCGAGGGAACAAAACAACGACAGCCCGAGGCGGCAGCACAGGTCAGAGCAGCAACGGGGTTTGGGGGCATGCGCAATGCGCTCTGAGCTCTTCTGGGAACAAACTTGGCGTTGCGACCGCGTCGCACAGTTTTTGGGCACAGATAGGCAATCGCGGAAGAACCAAGCATGTTTAGTAAAACGGGGGCCCGCCACCAGCGAGCCACTAAACCCTGAACCAGAACAAACATGCCCACTCGTCAGGCAACATCCGAAAGAAGCCAAGAAACAAGCTGTGTCAAGCGTTTCAATAGCTAGCCGGTTGTAGGATGGCGCGAATTCCACCAAACGGCAAAAAATGGCTGCAGCTCGGGCGAACACCAAACTCGCGAAATCAGGGCGCCTCCCCAGCGAGGGCGCTGTGAGGTGGTTCCGTTGTAGATTTAGCGAGTGAAGGCCCCGCAAGCTCTGCCTTGGTCAACTCCTGGATTGAGGAGCTGCTCGTTGAGCTATGAATCATGGCATTTGTCACTACAGGATGTGTTGTCGAAGGACTCACTTCAACAGTGGGACACTGATACGGAGAAACGCGCTAATGATGCTGTTGGAGATGCTACCTTTCGTGCCCACACACCAATACCGACCAACCGTCCGTCCGACCGACCGACCGACCGACCGACCAACCAACCAACCAAACAGCCGCCAGCCCAAGGAAAAACTGCAAACAAGGCATGTAAGAGAGATATTTGCCGCATGCAACCCGGTCCGCAATGCCGTGCAACCCAATGTGCCACAGGCATGTGTGTTCCCTGTCACCGCAGCCATGCCAGTGTTCACATCACACACACACACACACGAGATGGGAGACAGTGAGCCCGTGAGGCGCATCCCATGTGCCAGCTTTTGAGGGCCTCCGCGAGGGCAATGGAGCTTCGGCTTCAAGCAGGTCAGATCATCTTTCGCTGGGCTGATTATCCTCATCCGCAACGCCATCAACCAGCCCAGGTACTTCACGTCTGATCATGCAAGAAGGTGGCGTCTGACTCCAAAGTAAAGAAGAGCACCGCGACAACCCCTCAGGAACAGGGGGCACACACACACACATCTACTAATTATATAGATGCGCACATGTGTGCATACACACATCGTGTCGAAACAGTTTGAGGAGGAGTACCCCAAACCCAGCATAGGCTTAAATTCCACCATGCGTCGGGAAAAGTATGGCTCGCGTCCCACCCTGGCACACGCCCACGCCAAGCCGGCGCATTGCTTGGCCAGGCCACAGGGGCTTGATGTCACTGAGCTGGTTGCTTCCCAGGTTCAGCACTCTCAGGTCGAACAAGCAGGAGAAGACCTGAGCAGAGAACTTTCAAGAGTCCAAGAGCCACGCCTGGCTCCCCTTTTCCTTCTACCCAAGATCCTTTCGGCGTGCAATGTGCCGTGGAAGGGGGGGCAGTGTGTGAGGGGGAAGGCGCCTCCGGCGGCAAGGATGCCAACTTGTTCTGCCTCAGGCTCAGCACCTCCAATGACGGGAAGGTCAAAAAAGCACTCGTGACAAATAAGCAGCCTTCAAACCTCTGGTCATGCAAGGGCGGAATAGTGTACGGAATGGCCAGCACGCTGGACAGCCAACACCAAGCCTAGAAGGATGACCGCCTCCGGAAAGCAGGCTCAAGCGACACTTGTCAAGCTGCTGACCGAGCTGGCTTCTACAGCCATGTTCAATGCCTGAAGCCATGCAGGGAATCCGAAGCGTGGAAGATTGGCCAAATCAGTAGGGGAGCCTCGAGGCCGCACCAGGACTGTCTCTACGGGCCCGTCAGGGAGGATTTCCCCAATGACGCCGTCGGCGTCATAAGGCCTTACAATGGAGCTGGGCCGGCATGCGCTGAAATTACTTGGCGGCCGGAAAAGCGAAGCAAACACACACATAACAACCCGTACCCCACTGCCGAAACCCATGTTAAGACGAAATGGTCTTGGCGCCGGCGTTCCCTTCTACTTCCTGTCTTGCCAGGAATGGGGCCTCTCGTTTTTGCACAGGGCCTCTCAATCCGCAACTTGACTGGTGCTCGACGGCTCTGCCCGCCTGCAGGGGAGAGCTGCAAAGCCCAGCCAGCGATTCCAGGAGGTTTCCATCCAGGTGGAGTCCCGTCCTGAGCGCTCGTGGCTCGTGCCGAGACGGTGCTTCCTTCGGCTTTGGCATGGTTGTGGAACATAATCCAAGTAGCAAAGTGGGCCATCCTCATCGCTTCTCACTTTTAAAGAGGATTACCTTGGTATCGGAAAGTGGCCATAAACATGTCCTTCAGTTTCGGCCCTGGCTATCGCTGGAGCGCCAGGCCGGGCACTCAATGGAGACTTTCTTGACGAGCTGGTCATTCAAACTACCCACGAACCTACCGCACAGCTGCGATTAACGTTCCAGCTCACAACCCATTTCTGTTTGATGATTATTTACACGAGGCAGCTTGCGTCACTGTTCCGATCAGGTTTCATCCAGTGGTCTTGCAAACCTGATCTGCCGGCTTGATCGCGGAGCTGCTGCAAAGAATGAGCCAGAAACATGAAAGTGGGTTACATGGCCAACCAACCATCAACACCCACCTAGGTCCACGCCCCTTAGAACTGCTGCAAAACGGCCCTTTGGCTTAGGTGAAAGCCTGCGCTTTGCATGATGTTAAACTAGTTGGCAAACTACGCGTTGTGAGCATGTGTGTGTGCCCTCAAGCCTGCACTCCCGAACGAAAGATGTCACTTTGGGATACATGCTGCAGCCCAAAAACATTTGAATGCACTTTGCTTGCGAAACACGCTTCTGTGCGTTATGACCTCGCCAGCTTGAGGCCAGACCACATCTTGACCCAACCCCGCCACTGAGGGGAGCCAAACAAGAAACCAAGATAAACCAAGCATGCCCCAGCCCCTTGCCTCAATCATGGCACGGGATGCCGGGATGCACTCCAACCTTTTTTACTACCCGAAGTGCCGCCGAGTCACAAGAATGGCAGCTGCAAGTCCATACGCTGGAGCCTTCCGGCAATGCAAAAGGAGGCTTGGCCACACCCACCCTGCCTGTTACATGCCCATTGCAGAGATCAGAAGCCAGTTGGTCAATCCATGGCCCATCTTTGCCTTGTCCATGGCGTGTTCCTTGCGTTTCTTGCAAAGTTCATTTGGCACTTTGTTTTAGGTGCTATCTGTTCGCCCTTCTCCGCCGAGCCACTGGTTCCAAGAGGCGTCCAGGGTCCTCAATAGCAGCAGATCCTGCGCGCCGACAAAAGGACTCCACGAGACAACAATTGTTCGGCATGCCTTGCAGACTTCCCCCAACCCAGCCTCTGAGCTTTGTCCGGGCAAGTCCAGGCCGCTCAGCTGGTTCTCAGCCTGAAATCGGGCCGAGCCATAGGCCAGGCGCCATCCTTTTTTGTAATGCAAATCCTGCATTGGGAAAAAAGACCTACTGGCCTCTATAGACCAGCATGGGCGAAATCGAGTACATTGACCAGATTACCAACATGACCAGATACGTTACGCTCACGCATCAGCATGACCTCCCCCCAAACAACCAACCTTCCCTCCCCCCCACCCAAAAAAAATACAAACCGGCATAGACCCCAGAACTGCATATCCCCTAGCACCCTGTCGTCAATCTCGCAAAATGCGCGCGCCGTCACCCGAACAGCACTGCCGTCCGCGGCGCCAGGTCCAGATCTTGGAGGTTCCACGGCAGGCGCGGCACCTTGGCCAAGGCGTTGCCCCGCAGCGAGAGCCGCACCAGCGCCCCGAGCTGCTCCACCCAAACCCCCTGCCGGCACCACGTTTTCGTTAGCGCGGCACGAATCGGCGGTTTGAGGTCAACGTGAAGAGGTGGATGCCCGGAAAAGGGGAAACCAAGAAGAAAGCCGAAAACCATGTTTGGGCTTGGGGGGGCACAGGGAAATGGACCCCGAAACTGGCACCAACCTGGTTGGCGCCCCTTGAAAAAACAGCCTGAAGAGGTTACCCTCAAGAAACACAGGCGGATGAAAGATGTGCACACCCAAACAAATGGGACCACAACCAGTTGGCAACAACAATGAGACAAGGACATGGTCGGATTCTGCTTCAGTACCAACAAGAGATCCAGGTTTCGGGGGATGGCGCTTGGTCCTGTGCTAGCTCAAAAGGGGGACGTCGCCAGAACACAATCGTACTTGCCTTTTGCTGCGTGCCCCCACAACTGGCATTGCAAGGCTTCCGTAGGACATGTCGGATTGTACAACATCATGTCAGTCGAGCGGCAGACGAAATGTAAACCTGGGACACACTCCCTTAGGCAGCTCTGCGTCAACAGGAAGGGCTTCCCGTGCGCCTTAGAGCTCTCGTTTTTTGCTCTGAACCCTACCACGGCCCCTTTCGCTCCCCAATCAACGGGTGTGCGTTTCTTCCACCACCGGCCGTCTGACCCGACAAAGCCAAAGGGCGCGCCGCAGTCGGGGCCGCAAACCGAAAGCCGAAAGCGCCTGCGCCTCCAAGGCGTTGGAGGAGAGATCCAGGCTGCTGAGGTTCTGGGCCTCCAGCGGCCCGAAGCTCTGCAGCCCGTTGCGGGCCAGCACCAGCTGAGTCAGCGCCTATCGGAAGTTGGCGGATGCGGGGGGCCCAAAGTTGGTGGCTCAACCTCCGCTCAGATTCTGATTTCTTTCTTTTTTTTGGGGGGGGTGGGAAGGAGGAAATGAGAAACAATCACCTATTCGAAGCCCCAGCAAAGGCAGGCTCTGCAGTTCGCATGGTGGCACGGCAAGTGTCGGATCCTTTGTTCCTTTTTGCTGTGGGAACGCGGCCAGTGTTTATCAATATGCTGTTTCATGGGCATCCATGCCGGGCGCAAGGCCTAGCGGGAAGGCAAGCTGCGTCTTCAGGCGTCTTGGGATGTCTGTCATATTTCTGCGCATGTGTGCACGATCCATAGCTCTCACATCCAAGCAGCTGCGATGTTACCATAGCTTGTGAGAAACTGGCGAAACCGGCTGCCGTCTTCGTGGCGGCTAGATTCAAACCTGGCTTTTTGGGGAAAGAGTTTTAGGGTTGTGGCTCGGTACTGTCGTTTCGCTTGGGATGTACGGAAAGCCCCCACAGTGATGCAAACATGCCCAGAGGGAATGGGGAGCACTCGGCGCCAAAAAGGCAACCCCTTCAAACAGAGGGATCCTCGACTTCAAGGAGGTTGCTTTGCAGCCAAGGCTCCTGAGAGACGTTCACGCTGAAGTTTTTCAAGCACAGGCCAGACAAGTCCTTGGCCGGCCACCCACCTGTTCCCACCCAGGAGCAAAGAGCGCAAAAGCAAACCAAACGGTCGGAAGCCTGGTGCAGCTTGGCAGGGCGAGTCTAACTCCGTCAATCAGGCTTGCCAAAACTGCTGGGACAAAGTCCTGGCACCTGTGGATCAAGCATCAAGTGAAATGTCCACCCATGGAATCTCAGCATACTTAGGCAATATTGCCCCAAAGCAAGCAACCCAAGCATGGCGATAAATGGTGCTATGTTGCCTCATAAAGGCGGATCAACAGCTGGAGCTGCAGTAGCCCTTACTGTACCTCCCTCACATACCGTCACACCCACTTTTCTGCCCACTTTTGTGGCCACCTCCCCTCTCCCTGCCACCTCTCGCAGCGCAAGCGCCTCTGCCCCTGAAACCTGCCAGTGTGCCAAGACCTGCAGCTCCGGACCCTGGAAGCTTCCAGGCTCCAGCTCGCAGATGGGGTTCCCAGACCTGGAGCCACGCACAGACTCGCAGACTCGCGTTGTGGGGGGAGGGGGAGGGAAGGGGCAGGTCATACTTCCCTTTGATGGGTGCCCGGGGGCAGTGCAGATGACTGCTTCTGTCTCCATCGTCCGAGCGGCAGGTTGAGCCAACGCAAATGCTCGAGACGCATGAGGCTGCCAGACGGCACCTGTGTCAGCGCATTCTCAGAGAGGTCGAGCCCTCCTGGCAGTGACGGGAGCCATGGCCATGATGAACAAGTAATTACAGCAGTGAGAGCGCAGCAAACAGTTGAGCATGGAGGAGGAGAGTACAAGACGCCAATAAAGTACTGGAACATATCTATTCGAGTTTCTATCTTCTCTCCCACAGCTGGCAGCTGCGCCAGGCACCACTCGAAGCGCGTTCAGAAAGCCCTGTCCTAGCATGCCCAGCTCTGCCACCTGGAGAAGGCTCATATGGGACGACCCTTTGATCTAAACCACCTTGACAGGCAGAGGGTGACCAAGCTGAAGGTGAGGTCACTGGTACCAATCTTGAATCATGAATCAATGGACATGCCCACAGTGTGTTTTACAGCAGGCATCAACCATGACTGTGAAATCAACGCCTTCAAATAATTTCACCAGACACAACACGAACACAGGTCCCTCTGCAGGTACGCGAGCACATCTCTCACCTCACTTCCTCCCATCTGAGGGCACCGAGCCTCAAAGATGCTGCGAAGGCCCAGCCCTCTGGCCGAAAGAGACTCCAAACGCTCCAGGCCACTCCACCTTGGCCAACGCGGCTCCTCTTGAAATCAGACCAGCCAATCCAATGGACAGCTTCAAGCTTCACAAAGCCAGTCACTCAAGCGGGTCGGTTGCTTCCAGTTGAAGCATATCTGTGTACGGCCCTGTTTCATGTTAATCACTTCCAACTAGTCGAGGCCATCAAACCCTGGCCAGCTCTTGGGCAACTGGGCCTGGATAGCGCGAAATGGCGATGGTTGCTGCGAATCACTCTACTCACAACGCCTGCCCAGCCTTGCATTGAGCCTTAAACACTGAGCCCGCGGGCACGCCAGGCTGAAGGGCAGGCAACATGTTCTGGGAAATGTCCAGCACTCGCAAGCTGCTGAGATTCCTCGGCGAAAGCTTGGGTGTTCAGCCAGCGAGATTTCCAAGCAATCAAACTAAACGGGCCCTTGACCGCGCATGGCGGTGCATATTGTAGCTGTTCTTTTTGTAAAGCAACATTCTGCTCCGGAACCCCGGCGAAAAAAAATCCAAGGATTTGCTGGAAGTGCTGACGATGCTCAGGTTTTTTGAGGTGCTTAGAGACAGCACATCGTCTGGCGAGGAACTCTTCCTCCAATCAGTGCATGACGTAACCCGGAAGTTTTTGGTTGTGAGCGAAAGTGAGCGTGAATCAGAAAGAGGGACAAGCAAAATGAGAGAAAGAAAAAAGGCCAGACATTTCAATGAATGCAAAAAAGGAAAGGAAGAAAGAGAGAGATAAAAGAACAGAAAGACAGAGAAAGAGAGAAAGAGAGAAAGAGAGAAAGCGAGAAAGCGAGATGCAGAGGAAGAAGAAACAGAGAGAGAGAGAGAGAGAAAGAGAAAGAGAAAGAAAAAAGAATCAGAGAAAACAAGAAAGAATGAAAGAAATAAAGAAAGAAGGAAATAAAGAAAGACAAAGGGAGAGGCGAGCAAGACAGAAAAAGAAAAAGGAAAACAAAGAGAGAAAGAAAGAAAGAAAGAGAGAAATAAAGAAGGAAAGAAAGAAAAAAAAGAAAGAAAGAGTAAAAGAATACAAGAAAGAAAGAAAGAAAGAAAGAAAGAAAGAAAGCAAGAAAAAGAGACGGAAAGAAAGAGAGAAATAAAGCAAGAGAATGCGAAAGAAGAAAAGAGAAAGAGAAAACGAGAGAAAGAGAGAAAGAGAGAAAGACAAAGAAAGAGAGAAAGACACAGAAAGAGAGAAAGACACGGAAAGAGAGAAAGACACGGAAAGAGAGAAACACAAGAAAGAGAGAAAGAAGGAGAGTGAGAGAGAGAATTCAACCACAGAAAGGAACAAAGAAACAAAGAAAGACAGAAAGAAAAATGAAACAAAGAAACCGCAAAAGAGAGAAAGAGAGAACGAGAGAACGAGAGAACGAGAGAAAGAGAGAAAGAGAGAACGAGAGAACGAGAGAAAGAGAGAAAGAGAGAAAGAGAGAAGGAGAGAAAGAGAGAAAGAAAGGACGAAAGAAAGAACGAAAGAACGAAAGAACCAAGGAACGAAATAACGAAAGAAAGAATCAAACAAATAACAAAAACAAGAAAGGCTGAGAGAACAAGAGAAAGAGAGAAGGAAAACAAGCAAAATAGAAGAAAGAATGAAAGCAAGACTGCACGTGGCTCTCTCAACCTCTTTGCAAGTCCGTCTCAAAGACGTGCGGCCAAAATGGCAAGTTGTAGTCAACAAGAACGGTGCTAAAAAGGAACCAGACCGGCGGCACGTTCTTGTAAGTGGGCAATGGGGTTTCCTTGACCCCGGCATTATTGCAGCGGGGCCTCTGGAATGTGCCTGGCGTCAAATTCTGCAGCTGGTTCGAAGACAAGTTCAATGTCCTCAGCCAACTGTCGACAGCCAAAAGGCGGGAAATGTGAGGGTAGAACAGGATTTCGCACACCTGGCCCGTCGCTTTGACCAGGGCAAGCCCCTGAATTTCAGTATTAGACGGGGGCAGATCGCACCCAGAATGTTTTCAGGCTGCTGCCCCCAGTTTTCCAGTAGCGCATGCATCCTTCAACCCTGGAAACAATCTTACCCTGAAGCTTCCCTGAAACAATCAAGCCTCCAATCCTCTAGCTTCCTTTGAGCTGCTTCTTGGCACGCACCATTACTGCAGCTCGGTCACGTCAAGCCGTCCAGCGCATCAAAGATAGTTGGCGGCAGAAGCTCTAACTTGTTCTGCGAGATGTCCTAGGGTTGCCAATTCATTGTGACATATCAGCAGCAAGCGAAGCAGTAGTAGTTGCAGGAGTAATAGTCATCGTTGTCGTCGTGGAAGTGGCGGTGGTAGTGGTGGTGGTGGTGGTGGTGGTGGTGGTGGTGGTGATAGTAGTGGCAGTGGTAGTGGTAGTGGTAGTGGGGTAGTGGTAGTGGTAGTGGTAGTGGTAGTGGTAGTGGTAGTGGTAGTGGTAGTGGTAGTGGTAGTACTAGTAGTAGTAGTAGCAGTGGTAGTAGTAGTAGTAGTTGCGGCAGCAGTAGCAGTAGTCGCAATAGCAGTAGTAGCAGTAGTGCCAGCTGTAGCTGTAGCGGTAGCAACAGCAATGGCAACGGCGGCAGCAATCGCAAAGGCAATGGCACCAATGCGAATACCAAAAGCAATGGCCATAGCAACGGCAAGGCTAATAGCAATGGGAATTGTAACAGAAATGAAAACCACAATAATAACAATAGTAGTAGTTGCTGTTCTTGTTGTCGCCGCGGTAATTTTAGTAGTAGTAATAGTAGTAGCAGCAGCATCAGCAGTCGTAGTGGTAGTAGCAGTAGCAGTCGCAGAGGCAGTGGTAGCAGTAGTAGTGGTAGTAGCAGCAGTAGCAGTAGTAGCAGTAGAAGTGGTAGTAGTAGTAGTGGTGGTGGTGGTGGCGGTGGTAGTACAAGTAGCAGTAGCAGTAGCAGTAGCAGTAGCAGTAGCGGTAGTAGTAGCAGTGACACTTTCATAGTAGTGGTAGTAACAGTGCAATGGAAATAGCACTGGTAACAGCAGAAGTACAAGTAGAGGTCGGAGTGAAATAAAAGTAAAAAGTTAAAGCGCAAATGAAAGTAAAACAAAAAGTAAAAGGTACAAGTAGAAGTAAACGCAAAAATGAAAGTAAAGTAGAAGTAGAAGTAAAAGTAGAAGTAGAAGCAAAGATAAAGTACAAGTGGAAGTATAAGCAGGCCTAGAAGCAGAAGTAAAAGCAGAGGTCGAAGTACAAGTACAAGCGGAAGCGGAAGGAGAAGTGGAGGTAGTAGTAGTAGTAGTAGTAGTAGTAGTAGTAGTAGTAGTAGTAGTAGTAGTGGAGGTAGTAGTAGTAGTAGTAGAAGTAGAAATACAAACTAAGAGCAAACAAAAACGCAAACGAGAAAGTTAAAAAAAAATCCAACAGCCAATGCAAAAGCAAAAGCGTGTGCGAAAGCAAAAGAAAAAGCAACAGCAACAGCAAAGGCAAAAGCAGCAGCAACAGCAAAAACACACAAGGAACATGTCAACGTAAGAGGAGTAAAAGTAAAAGTAAGACTACTACTACTACTACTACTACTACTACTACTACTACTACTACTACTACTACTGCTGCTGCGCCTTCTGCTGCTACTACTGCTACTGCTACTACTCCTCCTCATCCTCCTGTTACTATTGCTAGTAGCACTGCCTTGCCAACTGCTCTTTTCTCCAGTTCCACACGGGACGCTATATTAATAACCTGTTAACTGCCCCTTCCTCCAGTTCCACGCCGGACGCTAACTTACTGCCCCCTCCTCCCGCGCCGGACAGCTGCCTATGAGCTTACTGACTGCCCCATTCACCAGCCCCGCGCCGGAAACTAACTTACTAAGTGCACTGTCCGCCAAAATGCACAGGAAACTGCAAACTAGCCGTATTGTGGGAGAAAGACATAGTTGATCCTGAATAAAGTTTCTGACGTGCGTGCTCACCATGGGACACCACGCTTTGCCTGGCTGTGATTTCTGCTGCGGTTACAACAAGAAAGTCATGCATGAAGGTGGTGCATTTGCTTCCGCAAGAACACCCAGAATGCCTTGCACAAAGGCTTGGAATTGTTCCAAAATTTGGCCACCTGCCGGCGCTGCTCCTCCTACAAGCGCTGTGCGCCTCAACCTGCAAACACCGAGCTCGTGCGGCAGTCGAGGCACCAAGGTGTTCAGCCCCTCAAGCGGTTTGAAGACTTCCTCGGGAAGGCTGGCAAGATGGTTCCCGGAAAGCGTCAGCTCCTGCGGAAGCACTGCCCGACCGCCCAGCAGGCGCAAGAGGAGTGCGGCACTGGATGGGGAGGCAACTGTATGCTTGCCCCTCCCCCAAGGGCTATAGTGCCCAAATTCCCCAAATAGCCGTTGCATTGAGGCACGCACGGGCCAGCCTCCCACCTATGCCCCGCCTCGAGGCCGCTGAGGTTTTGGAAGCTGCTCGGCGCCAGCTCCAGCTGCGCTGAGTCCAGGTGCAGCACGCGCAGGGCTCCGAGGCTTCCAAAGGGCCCGGCCAGGCCCAGCGCGTTGCCGGAGAGGTCCAGCCCCTGCAACAGCGGCGCACACCTTGGAACGAGCAAGACGTTGAAATCTTCAAAGGCGAGGGGCGGCGGAATTCAGCGCCATTGCCTGCCTTCAAGCTTAGGTAAAGACAAGTTCGCACGCCGAAAGTCATCACGACTTGGCGGAGTTGGAATGGATTTACATGCCGAGGCATAGAATTCTCGGATGGTTTAAATCAAGAGGACCAAGATGAACAAAGCTTCAAGGGTAAGGGTCCCTCTCCAAGCAAATGTGGGCTGGGGGAGTCCACCAGTCAAGCCCCCGGCAAGGCCGTCCAGTTGGAGAGGCGGTTGTGCGAAAGGTCCAGTTCCACCTGCAGTGCCAGTGCTAGCATCAGGCAGCCCGGCAGCCCTGTGACCCTATGGGCAACATAGAGGGGGGAAGAGAAAAAAAAAAAAACGCGAGCCGGCACCCCGTACGCCCGCACCAAAGGAACAGCACCCCATCAGCAATCCCCGCTCATTGGAGCAGTGGACCGGCACTGCGTTGGGGCTGCGCAGCTGAGACACTAGGTCTTCTTGGCATCCGTTGAACTCCAGGGAGTCCAACAAGTTCCTGCCTGAGACTACAAGTCTCAAGGCCGGGTCACTCCAAAAGTGTGGTTTGCAAATTTCAAGCTTGGGGCATGAATACACAGGGGGGGGCATTTGGAAAAGAATGATATTGGATAGCGAACCAAGTGTTCAAAAACGATCAGAAAGTTAGCATGATGAAAGAGCGCACACTCCAGCAATGTCCTCTTCACTCACCCCGAAGTCTTCAGGTACGAGCCATGGGGGCGCACCCTCAGCCCTGAAAAAGCACCTGTTGAGGCAGAACATCTGGCAGTTCAACCACCTAAGGCCAACCTGGAAGGGTTGCCGCGACAATGAAAGGAACCCTTCACAAGTTCCTCTGATGGCATACTCAGCGGTTTGACATCCAACAAAATCCCGAATCCCCAAAATCCCTATTCAGCCAGCCTCTCGGCTCACCATCGAGATCTCCCCCCAAATGCCCATGCTCTGCCGGCAAACCCCGCTAGCGTAAACAAAGGCGCCCTACCACCTCCTCCCACCCCGTTGGCTTCAGCTTCGGCGCTCAGGCTCAAGTTCTGCAGCTTCGGCGGCAAATTGCCAAGGTCCAAGCTGGCACGCCCGGTGGCCGGGGATGTGGCGCACAAGGCGATCGTGTGGTTTCGAGCTATGCGTTTGGAGCGAAAGAGAGTGAGAGTGAGAGCGAGAGAGAGACAGTGAGAGCGAGAGAGAGACAGAGAGAGAGAGAGAGAGAAAGAGAGCGAGAGAGAGACAGAGAGAGAGAGAGAGAGACAGAGAGAGAGAGAGAGAGAGAGACAGAGAGAGAGAGAGAGAAAGAGAGCGAGAGAGAGACAGTGAGAGCGAGAGAGAGACACAGAGAGAGAGAGAGAGAAAGAGAGCGAGAGAGAGACAGAGAGAGAGAGAGAGACAGAGAGAGAGAGAGAGACAGAGAGAGAGAGAGAGAGAGAAAGAGAGCGAGAGAGAGACAGTGAGAGCGAGAGAGAGACAGAGAGAGAGAGAGAGAGAGAGAGAGAGAGAAAGAGAGCGAGAGAGAGACAGAGAGAGAGAGAGAGAGACAGAGAGAGAGAGAGAGAGACAGAGAGAGAGAGAGAGAAAGAGAGCGAGAGAGAGACAGAGAGAGAGAGAGAGAGAGACAGAGAGAGAGAGAGAGACAGAGAGAGAGAGAGAGAGAGAAAAAGAGAGAGAGAGAGAGAGAAAGAGAGAGAGAGAGACAGAGAGAGAGAGAGAGGGAGAGACAGAGAGAGAGAGAGAGAAAGAGAGCGAGAGAGAGACAGAGAGAGAGAGAGAGAGAGACAGAGAGAGAGAGAGACAGAGAGAGAGAGAGAGAAAGAGAGAGAGAGAGAGAGAAAGAGAGAGAGAGAGAGACAGAGAGAGAGAGAGAGAGAGAGAGACAGAGAGAGAGAGGGAGAGACAGAGAGAGGGAGAGAGAGAGAGAGAGAGAGACAGAGAGAGAGAGAGAGAGAGAGAAAGAGAGAGAGAGAGAGAGAGAAAGAGAGAGAGAGAGACAGAGAGAGAGAGAGAGACAGAGAGAGAGAGGGAGAGACAGAGAGAGGGAGAGAGAGTGTGGGTGTGTCTGCGTGTTTGGGTATTTGGTTGCTTGGTTGTTTGCTTGCTTGGTGTTTGTGCGGAAAAGCAGTGACACTTTTGCGTCGACTCTTTCGTGGCTGCCGTTGTCACTGTCTTTCTTGTGCCATGTTTACAGCTGTTACTGTCATCTATTGCAACGTGAGACCGCCACCAGCCAAAAGCAGCCCAACGGAAGTAAAGTAAAGCAGTTGTTGTGATCTGCTTTTGAGCTGCTGGGGATATGTGTATGTGTAAGTATGAAGCATGTGTTTTGTCTTGCAGGCGAGCAGGCGTTGGCAGAACTTCCGAAAAACGCCCGCCATGTCCGTGACATTTGACAACTTAACACCAATATCGCGAAACTTAGTGAAACTGAGTGACATCTGGTGAAATCTTGGCGAGAATTCGGGTACCATTCACTCCCTTTCCTGTGAAACAGTAGGCAAAGGGGTGTTGCAACAAGTCGCCTTGCCGTGGACGGAGCACCTGTTGGGGCTGAGATGATTCCAGCCACTAAACAAGTGTGCATTGTCCGCAAAGTGTTGCGATCCCCGACAAAGAGACTGCAAACACTGCTTTTGTTCCGGTGCCCTGGAAACGTCAAACACCAAACCAAGTGACTTGAGCAAAAGCATGCCAAAATGGAGGACACATGCAATAATACTTCAGCAGCTCTTCAGCAATTTTAAGAGGACAAGCCAAAACATGCCTCTTGGGCATCCGATACGACGTATGGACCCTGACACGACGGACCGTATGGACCTGGAGAGCTCGTTGTCGTCGAGGTTCAACACCAGCAGGTCGGCCATAGCGTCGAACAGCCCTGCCCATGTGGCTGATCTGATGGGCAAGGAAGCTCCCACGGGCCACCCTCGCATCGACTCTCGCAATGAGGAAGCTCCCGCCTGGGCTGATGTTCTGGAGGTTGCCGCCTCCAAGGGTCGGAGCGGAATGAAGCGCCAGGACGACTCTCTCTCAGCACAGCTCATGCAAGGCTGTCCCCCGCCGCTGTCAAACAAGCCATGTCATCAAAACTGGCAGTCCGTTCCGAAAACTCACGCCGCTCAAAACACGACACAAAAGCAAACCCACACCTTTCCCTGAGTACCAAAACCCAGCCTTGCCAATTTCGAAACCTGCTGGATATTGGGTGCCATGGGTTGTGGGTGAATCATAGACTGATTCACCAATTTTCCCTGAAACCGTTCCGTTTGGGCCGCCATGCCCACCTTGGAGCTCCAAACGCTGCAACGACGGCAGCCGCAGGGGGAGCAGCTGGGGCAGAGGCAGATTCGCCGCCCAAAGCGCCTGGGGGCTGCCAAGCAAAAACGGCGGACGGGGCCTGCGACTCTGCCGCCAAATTGCTGCATAAAGAGTTGGATCTCAAAATCTGATTCCGGGTGTACGAAGCAAGGCAAGTAGCTGTCAGCCGACTGCGCGTCAGCTGGACGTGAAGTCACAAACTTGGGAGCAGACAAGGCCTGAGGGCCCTAGGCAACTCTACCAAGGCACCTGCAAGTCGCTGAGGTTGAAGCTGCTCGGCGTGAGATTCATCAGGTTGTTGCCAGAGATATCCAAGGTCTGTAGTTGAGGCACGTGTGTGAAAGCACCTCGGGTGCCAGAACTGCCGATGGAGGAACCTTAAGGCTTCACTGGAGATACGTGCATTGCTGGCAAAGCTCTCTCAATAATTATCGCAACAGCTCGCCCTTTCAAAGCAGAGGGGAGGGCGGCCCAAAGGAAATACCTCCATCGTTTGGCCCACTTCGCTTCGAACCTCCGCATCCAGTTGCTTCAAAAGCATCTCGAGCCTTGGGGTTTGGGTGTGCTTGACAGCCGGCTTGGAGTCGGAGCGTGCTCTTGGAGCTACGCCTACGATGCCTCAAACCTCCTTGGAAGCATGGCAAAGACACGCGCAAGGAATTCCCCGCGACCAAACTGTCTGGGGCCAAGACCTTGGACATCCGTCAGCTCATTCTCTGAGATGTTGAGCTTCAAGAGGTTGGGCACGCCTGTGCAGCTTGGGCTAAAAACTCAAAGAGTTGGACGGTTTGGCTGGGATCGCCCATTCAACTATATGGATGAGTCTTCAATTTTCTACCCACCACGGAAGGCGACAGGGGGCCTTTTTCGAGGAACCTGATCTTCCAGGAAGCTGTCGCCCAACCTCTGCCCTCCCTCTGGCAGCTGGCCCCTGCCTGACAGCGGCCCAAAGGCCCCAGAGAGCTTGTTCTTGGAGTAGTCCAACTCCTGCGCGGAGGCTTGAACCCCCCCCCCCCAACAACCACAAGGCTCATCACGCTGCGGCCGCCAATCGAGGCAACGTGAAAACTGAGCATCTCAGCAAACCAGGCATCCGTCCATGCGGTGGGGTGCTTTCCCACTGCCAACCTGCCAACGTGAGCCCAGCCAGCGGCCGAAGCTCCTCCAGGCCGGGCAAGTCCCAGGCGCCGAGGTCCTTCAGAAAGTTGTGCTTCAACAACAGCTGGCGCAAGCCCGGCAGGTCTTTGAAGGCCTCCCGAAGGCGAGCGGACTGGCGGTTTTTGGCCGGGCTGGTGGGGCTGATGGGGCGGATCCCGGAAGCATCTCTTGACCGAAGCCTTGCGCGGAAGATCAATCAGCGTGGCCCCCTACGAAGCAATCTTCGCAATGCCCGAGCTAGCCTTTCACCGTCAGCAAATGCCTTGGGCTGGAGTATAATTCCTTTTGCCCATGCTGTGGAAGAAGTTTGCACGCTGAAACAGCTATGACCTGTCTATGTTGACTCCACATCAGCTAAACTACTAATCCCTATCTGACCGCCATTGGCCACCCACCAGCGCCATGATGTCTGGACGCTGAAGGGCAGAAAAAACAAAATAAAGGGAAAAAAACGGTGCTGTGGATGTGGAGCAGCTGCTTGGAATGGCCGAAACAGCTTGACATGCACAGGATGCCGCAGCTTGCAAAGCTTCCGAAGCACAGACTTCAGTGATACCCCTCGGCATGACCAACCAACCGACCCGCAAAGAATTCTGCAAAACACATTGCTTTGAGTTGGCGCTTGGCGCCCACGAAGGGAAGGAATCGCAATACGTCGATTTGCTCACCTCATGCTGCCACTGTGGAAAAGGCAGGCCCGACCCTCAGAAACCACAGCCCCGCCTGCGTGCCCAGCTCCTGTGAAAAGACTTGAGGCCCATGACCCGAACAAAGTGGGTAGGCTTTCGTTTGCATTGCATGCCACACGAGGACGAAGCAACAAATGGTCTCATCACATTGCTTTCCTTGTTGCTTCATGGGGCTTGCAGAACGAGGAGAGCAGTAAACCAAAATAAACCCGTCAACAGACTTCCTTTCCAAATATGCTGGTGTGGAAAGCTTAAAGCCATGACCCTCGCAAGCCATCTCTTGCGCGCGTGCACGGACAGCGCTCCTCCAGTAGGTTCTCGCTGAGGTCCACGACCGCAAGGCTTGGCAGAGAGGCGAAGACGCCGTCACGCAACTTCGAGAGACCTCAAGCTTGACCGGAACTTGCAATCTGGGTAGCTTTGAATAGTACAGTGGGAAAGGAGCGGGGGTGTCATGCGACAATCAAGCACATCCACGTGCGACAAAAGCGTCAGGATTGCCCCCTGATTCACCAGCTTGCTGAAGGAACCCTGAGGGAACCAACCCTGAACTTGGCCCGGGTCACGATTCTCGCTGACGTCCAAGCGGTTCAGCAAGTGCAAGTTGCGGAAGATGCCAGGCGGCAAGTCCATCAAAGGATTGCCCACGATCATGATCCTGGGCATCAAACCCGACGAAAAGGACACTGGCGAAAAGGAAGCCTTCCTCTGAGATGAACAAGGACAGTTCGCCGGGCGCTCGAAACACCAAATCCTGTCCAGGCGGCTCCTCTTCCTGGTTCTTCAACTTTGTGCCGCCCAGCAGGATCTGGCGGCAAAGCGCGCAGCCGACTTCATTGACAGTTGTGTTCTTGATGGGGCGTTGTGATGCTCAGATGCTGGGTGGTTGGACACACTGCTTAGCAATCGAAACAACTCCACGACTCTAAGCGCATGGTGAGTACTTATCGGTCCAACTCATACTAAGAAGGGGCAACGCGGACAATGTCATGTGTCTTAGATTCGGCATCTGACATTGACTTGAAAAACTTCCAGATTGTTTCGAGTTGATACAGGGTTTCCCCGGGAGTTGTTTTCAGGCCGGCCGCTGACCCGAGCCTCCCCTTCAAAAACCTCCGTCCCGCCTGTTGCAAGCCCGGCATCGGCTGGAACACGTCCACGTGCAACTGCCGCAAGTCATTCTGCGAGAGCGACAGGGTATTCAGCCTCCTGGGCGCCGAGCAGGCGATCACTCGGGGGCCTGCCTTGTGCTCGCTCTGTGCCCAAAATGGCTTGAACGGTGCTACCTGGACGAGATGGAAAAGCCGCACAAGGCACGAAGGCGTGCACCTCCAGCGCATTGCTAGCACAAAGTGGCTGCAACCTGTGAACTGCCCACAAATTGTCACACAATTTGAAAGGAGGCCCATCTTGAACTTTTAAACCGACCTCAAAGCGCACCCTGCCCCCCGGCGCGAGACTTGCTTGTGCATCGAGCGGCTCCAAGCCGTGGAAGTTGGGCGCGCCCAAATCCGACAGGTGGTTCCGTGACAGGTCCAGCAGCTGAAGATGGGAGAGCCCTGGTGGTGGGCCCCGCGTGTCATTCCCCCAAACTTTCCAGCGAAAGATTGGCACATGCAAAGTCACCAGCGGTCGGGGACTGACAAGTTGCCTTGACAAGGGCCGGTGAAACTGCGAGGCTGAGCTGCTGTGGCCAAAAACAAGAACGAAGCAACATAGACTCGCCCTCTGTGCCTGAGAAGAGCGCGGGCGCCAGCTCATGCAGCTGGTTCTGCGCCAGAGAAAGGATCATCAGGTCCTGGCAAACAACCCGCCCGACATCCCACAGACCCGAGCTGAGTGCTTGGTGGTCTTCTGGGCCATGTTCTGATGCGAAGGCTGAGAATGATGCACAGATCTGACGTGCCGTGTTGCCCCGTCCCCGCCCAGGGGATGGAAGACATCTGGCGCCACCTCTCCTGGGCAGACGGTTAAAAGAACACCCATGCATACAGCGTAGGTCGGCAAATCATCACGTGCTGTCGGCTTCACCCAGGGGCACCTCCCATACCCAACTGCGGCAACTGCGTGAAATCACCTAACTTCAAGCCTTTGAGAATCTTGGCAGTGGAAAGACAGCTTGTTTGAACAGCCCACGCATTCCGCAGCGTATTTGTGCGCTCGGCACACTGCCGGGTAATGCCGAACAAGCACTGCCCGATCCAACCCAAACACATGCGATCACCGCCTGTGCAACTGAGATTCGGATATGTAGCGACGCCAAGTTCAGGTACTTGAAACCTGGCACACCCTGTTGTGCAATCCAGTGGGCTCACCGCGTGGGAATTGGGGACAGGGGAAGAAGCAACACCCCTACGATTTGATGCATTAACGAATGAACTGCCAGAAGGAATTGTCAAAGTGGGACTCTGGCAGCCTGAATTCCATGAATGAGGCGATTTCGTTTGGCAAGCGAACTTGCAAGAGCAAGCAAACAGGAGGATGCTGAAGTATCCACGCATCAGAAGCCATCTGAAAACGCGGTGAGGCCAAAATTACATCAGCATAGACCCTAGATAGCCACAAAGATGCCAACACCTCTAACAGCACCTCGCGAAGAGCGCCCCAAACAGCACCCGGCCGTCAATCTCGCAAAATGCGCCCGCACCGTCACCAGCTCCTCAAACAGGGCCCCAAACAGCAACCCAAAACAGCACCTGCACCAGCACCCCAAACTGCATGCGCCCTAGCACCTTACCGTCAATCTTGCAAAGACGCGCCCGCACCGCCACCAGCACCAGCTCCTCAAACAGGGCCCCAAACAGCAACCCAAAACAGCACCTGCACCAGCACCCCAAACTGCATGCGCCCTAGCACCTTACCGTCAATCTTGCAAAGACGCGCCCGCACCGCCACCAGCACCTCAAACAGCACCCCAAACACTACCCCAAACTGCACGCCCCCTAGCACCAACCCATCACTCTCACATTTTTGTTCCCCTCTTTAGTAGAGTTAGAACCCCTAATAGCTTTCAGCTGTCTGGTGAACAAAATCAGCATCCCAGCCGCGCTTGATCCAAGCGGCGCAGCGAAGCGGCGAGGTTGCAGTTCTCCAGGCGATGCAGCCCGCCCCTGGAAACACGGTGCGAACCATGCCCTGATACCAAAGCCGGCTATTTTCCAGACTGCATCACTTTCAGGGGATTGGTATGCCTGAAACACAATTTAAGTTGCAAGAGCGGCATCAACAACTTCCCCGATCCTGGTAGTCTTGCAGGTGCACGGGTAGCAGCGCAAATCCATGGACTGGTTGGGGTAGAACTGCCTCGGCTCCGCAATCCCAGGGCGAGGCCAAGCTAAGCTCGAGCGGGGGCCATTTCTTGACACACATCTCGCCAGAAAGGCCAAAACAAACCATGGGAACGAGCCCAAATCAAAGGTATCAAACTATCCAAAGAACCAGTTTTTGCAACCCCCGCAGAATTCCCCAGCCGCGGCGAGCGTCTGCATCGCCAGCGTCACCCCCACCACTGACAGAAGCGACACAGCATAGCCCAGAGCTAGTAGCCGCGGACGTCTCACTCCTGGTGAACTTCAAGCGACGTTGGGCAACGATGATTACAAGCGCGATATGACTGCTGCCACTATTAAAATGCGGATGGTGCAGACAAATCTGTTTGCAGCCCACAAGAAGCCTCAAGCCTTCCTAGCGTTTGTAAAGCCAGTCTGTTTCTCGGCACCTGCTCGGGTGACCAGGCTCATGCTGGAAAGCGAGCGCCGGGATTTGGGGCCAAACTCCGGCTGCTCAGGGCACCTAAGCTGACTCAACTCAACTCGACTCAACTCGACCGAACTCAACTCAACGTGTCTGAAAAATCATGCGTGTTTCCGGGACCGGTGTAGAACAACCGAAGACCTAGGACCGAAACGAGACACAAACTAGGCCCAAAACGACTCTGTGGCCGATTCCGAGCCGACTCCGAAACTAGGACCGAAACGAGCCTCAAACCCGGACCAAAGCGATACTGCGCCACGTGTCAGACGCGAAACGAAGACAATCGACGGCCCTCTCGGATTAACTTCGTGGCCGTGGCTTCGGCCTTACCGCTACGAGTCTTGTGCCATTCCATTTGTCTGAGGCTGCACGTCCGCAAGGGATGGAGACTTTTCAAGTACATCATCCACAGCACGAGTTTACCACACCCGCAGATGAACTCTATAACTTCAGCACAGCTTTCCAAGTTTCAGGGGGCTCAGGCCGTTGACGTAGAATGGCAAAAAGCTTGCTTTGCCTTGAAAGTGCCATCTGCCAGCAATCCAAAAGTGAATGTTCTAGGAAGATTAATCCTTCGGGTTCTCTGATGCTGCCATCTAAGCATGCTTGCAGCCAACAAAGTGTCCAAACACAAGGGCCCAAACATGCCCCAACATGTACCAACCACCTACAAAAATGCCAAACCCCCTTGCTTGAAATGCCGACACCCGCCCCTATGCGGGTGGTAAGTCGTCCGGCAACCCCTTGCGCCGGTTCCCGTGCTGGGCGCCCGACACGGCAAACTTGGCGGCGGCCTCCTCCAGCGCGCGGCAAACGCAGCACACGTGCACCAGCGAGATGTAGATGGAGAGGTAGTCTCGGCGCCCACCAAAACCGCCAAACGCCCATCATTACAGACTACGGGTCAAAATCCCGTACCCCCAGTGAACATCCCAATCCCCACTAAAACGAACCACAACGGGTGGTGCACCTACCCCAAAATGCTACCATTGGTTTTGACCCATAGCCACATGCCTTTGTTTGGCACAGGAGAAAAACGAATGTCAGTCTGCCCCTGGAAATGGCGGCCATTTGCGTGCATGTCTGTGTCGGCCCCAGGCGCTCACAAAGCTGGTGGGGAAGGGGAAGATCGGATTCAGCTCGTTGGTGAAGCGGACCTGCTGGGAGCTGCCGAAGTTGCCCACCAGCGTGTCTTTGAATGAGAGCTTCCTCAGGGAGACCAGGCCTTGGATCGGGGCGCAGCTCACACAAAGCAGAAGCCCCATGTTAGTGCTGTTGAAACACATAATCTTCTCAAGGGCCTTCGTTCACGAACAACTCCCACAGTGGTGAAGTGATGGCGGTCCGGTTCACAACGGGGGCCGCTCTGCCATTGCAACAGATCAACAAGTACGACCAGCAACTTGTGATAGAAGCCTTGGCGAAGCCATGCCGCACCCGTCGCGTCCAAGCAGCTCATGGAAAGGTAGACCAGGATGTAGCCGAGATGGATGGAAGCGTCCAAGCCTGCTGCACAAAGACGACACCAGTGCTTCTCATCGAAGAGAACCAGCACGGCCGGGTAAATGCTGTTCACTCCTCACGCAAGTGAGGAGTGAAGCTACTAGAAGAGTCGTTTGTTTACCTTATTTCGAGCTATCTCCACCTACGGAAGTGATTGACTTTGCCAACGCTGATGAAAAGCGCGGATCTTGATTGGGGAGTTATTTTGTGAACTACTAGAGGACACGTTCACGTCTGTCATTTTTGTGTGGGGCAGCTTCATTCCATGTTAGCAGTTGGCAGCGCATGCACCCACTGGATAACAGCGCCTGGACCTACTGTAGAACATGAGTACGAATGCGCATGTCCAGGTTCCATGAGCTTTGCTAAGGACAAGCACAACCAGCACGACCAACAAAGAGTCTCAGGGTCCAGTCTGTCACGTCTGTTGGGTCATCCCTGTCAGCTGCTGTGACTGGACACTGAGGACATGGCTTGCGAGGATACGGCTTGGGAGACATAATGCCACTTAAAATTTAGCAGCCCCAAACCTGTGCTGGGTGGGGGAGACATCAACTTCCACCCTTTCAACACAAAACACGCTGAACATATTTTCGAAGTGAAGGCAGAAGGGATAGGCGTCATTTCCAGCCATGCTTCCCGGCCCCGCCTAAAAGAAGGATGAAGCTCCAGAAGCCAGTGATCAGAACGTCTGCCACAGCACCTACGCATTCCACAATTGGCTTCCACCTCGTTCCCCCATGACCTTGGCGCCTCGAAAAACTCATCCCAAAGCAGCCACGCAAAGCGCTCCTTTTCGCTGCCAGTCGGCAGTCCCTGGCCTTCACCCTGTTCACTGAGAGAAAGGGCTTCTGCATAGAGCCCCGCCGTGGCGATGGAGCTCAAAAGGCTCATCTTCCCCAAGCTCTGCAGCAGCACAGTGAAGATCTGTAGCAGCGCCTCGGACGGGAAGCCGGGAAGTCGTTGGACTTAGCACTGATTGACGCCCCGTTGTTTGCCAAAGCGGATTTGTCCGGCCGCCCTTTGTTGCGATCCACAAAGCTGCCATGAGCTCCAAGTTGCCTTCGAGGGGTTTGGTTTGAGAGTTGTTTCAAAATGCAATGTCTTTGCAAACAAGGTCCAATACAGTATTTCTGTGGCTTTCCTTACATCCGAATTGTCTTGTGGCGCGCGCTGGCGGAGCAAGCTGAATGCAAATAGAAGCCAAGGCGCAACCTTCACTGTGTAGAGGCTGCCCTCCACCCCAAAATACCTCGCGAGGCGACACAGGAAGCGAAAGCGGCCGTGCTTCAGACAGCGAACAAGCTTGCAAACTTTACAGACCAAAGCCCAACCCGGCCTGTAGAGCAAGTGCATGGGCTTCAGGCGCTTCACAGGTGCCTCGGTGCAGGTCAAGTAAGCCTCTGCAGTTTGCATTCCGAAAGCTTTGCGCCCCGAGGCCCGAGGCCATGGCGGTGGTGAGCTTCGCGTAGCTTGGGCCGCGCACCAAGTCCGTCAGGAAGATCACCACCTCGCGCGGCACGGACACGCTCACACGGATCACGCGGCTGAGGGGCACACGTGAACCACGTAGGGGAAAGAGTAGACCAAGCCCTCTGTCAACGCGGCAAAGAAGGTATGGTCCTGGCGATGCGGCTCATCGCTTTGCGGCGGCTTGTCTGCAAAAGGGTTTGCACTTAAGTGCATACAAATATGGATATATGATATATGCTTAGAATGTGCCGGGGCGTGCGTGTGTGTCTGTGTGTGTGGCATATTTTGTGTACTCACTCAATCATTCACCGAATCAAAAGGGACGATTCATCCAATTGGCCGCAGGGTTCCCTATCTTCCGCACATCTGGCTGCGCCATGGCTCCAAGACAAGGTCTCATTGGCTCAAGCGTCCTTCCTTGAGACAGCAGCTGCCAGCCATCGTGCTTTGCACGGGCTGGCACTTCAGCTGATGCAAGAGCCACGGAAAAGGCGCCCGAAACCAAGTCGAGACGACTACCGGCTGGCAAAAGCGCACTGAAGAAGCGAAGTTGAGACAATGCCTTCGCACACCTGCCAAGGCCTTGTGATGGCAGGGCTACTTTGGCATTGCATCTCCAAGCACGATAGAACACAAAAAAGCAGCTACATTTCTCTTGAAAACACTCTCCATTTCAGCCCATCGAGCATGAAGGATAAACTGGGTAAGCCCTCAACAGGCAGGATCGCTCACTGTAGCCTGCGCCGAGGGCTTCAAAATTGATAAGTGGCTGCCCAAGGACCCCACTCAAGGAGCTTCTCCCGGCCCCTATCATGGGGCCGCCCAGGCCAGAACGCTTTTTCCCAAGGAGTTTGTTGTTGTGTTTTTGGGGGTGATCTTAGGAGTGGAAGATGAAAGACGTCACCTCCGGGCTCCGGCCAAGCCACGCAACGCACACAGATTCTCCGGGCATCGGTCGCCTCAGTAGTTCGGCCGCTTCCAGGACTGGTCGAAGGAGGTGCCGCCACCCTTCGCCACGGAGCTGGGCCCGCCCTTCGAATGGCAGCCGGTGTAGGTGCTCCTCGCATTCAACAGGCTCAATTGCCGCCGTGTTTTTAACCGCAAAACAGGGCTCGTTGTTCTGTTTTTGCGTCCGGGTGGGTTTCTTTCTGCGACAAAACCTGGCCCAACAAAAAAAGGGGAAAAAAAGAAGAAAAAAAGAAGAAACAAAAAAAACTTGACACCCCAAGCTCCCCACTCCTGTCGTAGAAGAAGCGCTCCGGTCCCACAGGCCCCCGTGCCGGGCCCCGAGAAGCGGGCCGGCCGACGCTGGCGCCGCGAGAGCTCGGGCGCCCACTGGAGCTGCGGGGGGACCTGTGCAGCACCTGAAAGATGAGAAGCTGAAGCTGGATCCAATCGTGTGGAAGGAAACGGAGTCAGTCCAAATCATGTTGACCCCGCAATCATCAACCCCAGTTTATGAATAGGGGGTTGTCCCTGGGTTTAGTGGGGAATCGTCACTTTTGGAGAGGAACACCCCCCCTGTCAATAAAAGAAAACTCGGGTTGATTCATATGGGGTCCACATTACAGCGTCAGCGCGACCACGCTGAATGTTTCTTGCGCATCGAGGACGTGTCCGAAAGCTAGCGATCAAGTTTCGAACTAAAGCTCAGGCCCGGACGTCGGGCAGCATCTCGTGCTTCATGGGGCTTGGAGCCTGTCCTGCCAAAAGCCGCTTGGTTGCGCCCCCCTCTGGTCAGGAGGGGAGATGGTTGGCGATCCGCATAACACAATCGCAAAACAGCCACACCAGCCACCCCTGACCGGTCCTATGCTCACAAAAGCAGAAAGCCGTCCTGAGAGGAGGGTGACACGCGCCAAGTCATCCATCTCTTGGGATGGCCGCTTCCAGGTTTGGTCTCTGCTGGTGCCCAGGCCCTTCGCCACGTGGTCTGGGCCTCCGTTGGCATGGGTGCCAGTGTACGAGGACTTGTCGTAGAAGAATCCTGAGTATCATCCTGGTGGCTATGATTCCACCTATCACACCAGCAGAAACCCACCAATTCAGGCTGCCCTCTTTGCCGAGCTGCGCTCCGGGCCCATGGGGCGGTCCTTGGAGCCCGCGCGCTCGCGCCGCGCCGCCGCCTCGTCGGACTCATTGGCGCAGGCACGGAGCCTGGAAGTGAGACATGGATGACATGGCTGTGGGGCAAAAATGCGTACCCAAAATGGAACTCTGATAAATGGAGCCAAAGACTAAAACCTGCGGTGCCCTGGTGGGTTTTATTTGACCCATACCCACATGAGAATGGGAGCAGACCGAAGCTCTTGAATGCTCAACTGCCAATGGCGCATGAACTGCCGGACCCACTTTGCAGTGGCCCTCAACCCCGGGCGGCTTTCGTACCGCCAGCGTTCAGATGCCTTAAGTGTTCGACCCTCCGCAAAGTCAACCTAAAAAACGTGCTGCGCCCTGCGCACATTCAAACTTAACTCATGCTCACTATGAATGGAGCTTTAGAACAGAGGCCCCTACCTGGTTTACCCCCACTTGGCTAGGCACGTATGCATCTTTGCCAGGTGTCTTGTGTTCGGTGTCTGCGTGATTTTCAAATGGTCGGTGCGTGTGTTTGGGCATATGCGGTTCACACGAGTCAGGCAATGTATGTGAACAAAAGCGACGTAGGTGATTTGTTTTTAGTTCCCTTGTGCCCGAAATGGCAGGTGTCGGGCTCGGTCAACAATGACTTGCAATCTTTGAATCACAGGCTGGGGCAAGCCAACCTCAATCAGGTCCCAGGGGCCTGGGTTCGAAGCCTCAGGGGCAAGCCCCCGGCTTGAGCAACATGGCAACTAAGGAGAGCTCGCATCAGAAGCAAAGACTGTTGGCAATGGCGATGCAGCAAAAGGGCGTTCTGATTGGTGGCAGCAATCTCTTGATTCTCAAAACCGAGCAACCTCAACTAAGAAGCCCACGAATGCAACAACAAGCTCTTGACATGGACTTTGGGAAGCAAACCGGAAAAGGCGCACACATCATGCGCAAGTGGAAGCTTTGACTAGGCTGCACCGGCAAAAGTTCGTGCCTGTGGCTGAAGGAACGCATCCTTGTTCAATGGGTTGTGTCGTGGGTAGGGGCACCCTAACTGCTGGCTTGTCTTGCCAAAGGGGCCCACTGGTGAAAGCGCTGTTGGCCTTGCCATCGTCCATGTCATAGCGCGGGCCACCTCTCTCGTTGCCTTGGCACAGGGCGCCCTTTCCCCGTGATTAAAAAAAAAGTCAGCCATGCAACCCAAATATCAGTGTGCAAACGATGCAAAGCTGACAATGAAGTGGCTGGGTGAACGTATTGTCGCGCCCCTTGCCACACGGCTTCTATTTCAGGCACTGCTACAAGATACCGCGCTGTGCTCTGTTAGCCCCCTTGCCGGGCACAATGTCTTTGTTCGATCCGAAGTGAAGGGTCCAAACACCCTCCATCGGGGGAACAACGGCACACCGATGTGCACATGCACCCCTTGGCCTTGGCGAGTCGGATCCTGGTTTCGCATGGTGAGAAACAGTGGTGGGCGGACTTTGCCGTCGTTCATGGCCATGGTCCCCCTACAAGGGAACCTTCGAAAGCGTTGTCCAAAGTCCCCACGGGCAACCCAACCCTGCCAAGCCCAGGTAGTGTGGCTTCACCCTTGCGACGAGTGGCAGGGCTGGTTGCACACCGCGGTCCACGAATTCCGCTGACCCTTAGCCTTGACTCCGGGCTTCTTGCCGCAGCCGGCGCACTTGATCAAGGACTCCATCCTGCCTGCATCGCCCCTAAGGCAGGCTCCACCTCAGCTAGGGAACTGGTCAATCGGCTCAAGGGGCCTCCTTCAAACTCTGTCCCGTGATGCCTGGACCAGACATGACCATGGGCCCAAAGGCGAATCCTAGAACGCAAGCACAACAGGGCCGGGGCACAGTAGTGTGCCCCGCAGTGCAGGCAGCACAGGTTGGTGGATGGGCCGGAGCTGGTGCAATACCACTTGCACATGGCAACAAGTTACTTGGCACTCACACGCTATCCTTCCTGGGCCAAAATGGCTGAGCGGCTGCCCAGCAAAAACTGGACTTGAAGGCTGACAAGCACAAGAAAACAGAAGGTGGCCAAACCCTTGACTGTTAGGGCGCGCAGTAGCATGACGTCCGACCTTGACAACTTCCATAGGCACCTACCATTCAACCATTTGGCATGGATGCTTCGCCTTTTGACGCAGTTGCCAACCAACCTGGCACTTAAACCTTCCCAGTCCTCCAGTCACTTTCCGTCTCTCCCTTCCACCCCCCCTCTCTCTCTATCTCTCTATCTCTCTCTCTTTCTCTCTCTCTCTCTCTCTCTCTCTCTCTGAGCGTGCCATGCGAGCTATGGTCCTTCAGAGCAGGCAATTTGGCAGATGGAGAAGTGCGCGAGAGGCTGGGGTCAAGCGCGCCTTGCAGCGCGACCACATCCTGGCTGAAGGCGAGTGTCGCAAGCCCTGGACAATCACCTCCCTGTCCTATGACAATGGCCCAGACATCTGGAAAATATGGCGGCAGGCCGGTGGCAAGGTTGGGCATTGACACGACAAACGGATGGATACAAACACAACTATTTGGGAAGCAGGTGCCACTCCTCTCTGCACTACTACCTGGGCAGCTACATCACGGCGCTGTCTGCTCAACCGTGGGCCCATTCGCTCCTGGTCATGGTCATCGCTCCATGCCAGCAGCGTGGCCAGCCACGAAGGCATGTTCTGAAACTCCTCCGGGCACTCCCAGGCTGATGCAGGTGCTTCAATATTAGAGCCAAACCTATCCTCTTGGCCCGCGAACAAAAGGCGGCTCAAAACGAGAAGCGGCGGCCAGGCCATGTTGAACTGGGAGGTTCCACAACCAAAACCACAAAAAAAGAAGAGCGCGATTGCCGTGGCCTAACATAGATCATAATTGTAGCATTGGCAAGTGGGCTTTTGTGCCTGCGTACACGCTGGACAGTCTAGCAGCCAGCCCACATTTCAGGACAGTGAAGCAGATCCAACATGCAGCTGAGCACCCCAAACTGACGTTGGGGCCGCACCTCGAAAAGCTCCTGTATCCCATTCCAGCTAGATGCACTAGGAGCTGCGGCTTCCAAAAAGCAGGCCAAGAGATCAAGGACTTCTTACCAGTGCCTGACTAAGGTGAAGCAAGATCAATCCAGAACCCATTTGCTACCTGAGCCTTGCTGAAAGGCCATAAGTCGCAGACGAAAAACCTTGTGCGTGAAGGCAAGACCCTGGACCCAACCCACCCTCTCAACTTGGACCTCCGGACCGTAGCGCACGAAGTACTGGAGTGCCTCAAGCGTCAGGCAAGCGCCATGCCGGCACTCCACACAGAGTTGCCATTCAAACCACCGAGTTGATGGCTGGAAAGGCGTGATGTTGACCAATCTCAGTTGGTGGGGCCCTTGAATGACCCTTCTGGGCGTCTCTGAAAATGGCGGACCCCCTTTGGTTGGTATTTAAAGACCCTTGTGTTTGTTCGGGTGCGCCCGATCAAATGAGTCACAATAGTCAAAGTCCAGATTTAAAATATCAAAATGGCTTGCCCGAGCCCACACTCACACCCGAGGAAAAAAAACTCTCTCCCTCTCCCTCCGCGCCATCTCCTGGTCTGGCAGCTGGGGCGCTGAAAAAAACACAACCGGTTGCCTGTATGCAAACAGGCGGAGAGCTGCCCCAGAACCCCCTCTTGATTACGACCTTTGTGGGTTCAACTACCTGACTGCTACCTTCAAAGTGCTTCCAAAGCTTGTCATTATTTTGCTGAAAGCATTTTTCAACATTGAGCAACAACTACCCTGGAGTTCCCCCCTCCCTCCCCCCCCCCGCTGCTGAGCGGCAAAGTAGGCGGCGGTACCCAGCGCCAGCAGGCGCACCAGCGAGGTGCAAACGCGCAGCAGGCAGAACCACCAGGGGGGACTCGGTCGCAGCGGGTTGGTCTCCACATGGTTGGATTCCAAAAAGTGAATTTGGGATGAGGGGGGCAAACAAGTGAGCTTTGGAGTGGGTACCCTTTCTGCGGTTGGTTTGAAGGGAAAAACAAAAGGGAGAAACAGAATTGCGGGTGGCTTTTGTTGATACATGCCCAAATGTACCATGGTGGGTGATTCCCTTGCCTCAAATAAGCACCAACGCATATCCAATGTAGCAACTTTTTTGGGGTTTTGGGCTTGGCTGGGGATCAGGCAATGGGCATTGATGACAATTGTGACGTGTTAGCTCGGGGATTGGGGTTGCAATCCGCTGTTCAAGTCCAGGCCGCATTGCCCTTCACACTTTCCACGCCTTTGCCGCGTGATGTCTACGCGTCATGGCGGCCAAAGAGCGTCTTTACAGACTTTCACTTGGCTAGAAGGATAAACTAGACCCTGCAAGTCTTGGCAGGTCCCTCATCCGTTCATCTTGCCCAATGTGCTCTTTGATAGCCCCGCCTCTTCTCCACAATGGGCCGCAAAGGCGTGTCACGATCCATTTCGCTCACCTTGGCCGAGTGGCCCTTCCCTGCCTCATGTATTCTACTGGTCAGTAGCCATGGCCATGTCTGCAGTTCTCACGCATGCAAGCTGCTGCCCCAAAAGCCTCTGCAAATTGAGTTTGATGCGATTGAAGCTCAAATGTGAGCCGACAAAAAGGCGGCCCGCCCTTATCCCGCCTGGCTAAAGAGGCCAACTCCTTGCACCAGCCTGTCGAACTTGCCCATTTGCTCCTGGAGCTCGTGCCTTACACCGGCCGCCTCTCCAAGTGACGGCAAGTGCGCAACCCGGAGAAAACGCTCTCAGCCGATAGGGCCGCACCGAAGGCACTCAAATCAGCTGAGGCGCAGTGAGGCTTCGTACACTCTGACCTGGGCGCAGTGAGTGATCCTGGCCCCGAAGAGAATGCTCATGAAGAATTTCAGCCAGCTTGACGCTTCTGACCGGGTCTCATTACGATGACCCCGCCCCCCCTCCCAATGGGCAGCCAAATGGTTGCTGGACCTGCTTAAGCACATGCATCTGAGCATAGCCCATGGGCGTGCAGCATGATAGCCGATGAGAGTCCTGAAAGCAAGCCGACCCAACTCAACATGGAGATAGAAAGGCCACCAAATGTGGTATGCGTTGCTGTTTCCCTTCAGTGGCTGCTGATTTCCAGCTGGAGAGCGGGTACATTCATGAAGCCCGCAAGAAGCATGCCAATGTACTTCCCCTGGACAAGGGTTGACCTTTCAAAATCATGAAAAGTGCGCTATCCGAAAAACCGGAAATTTATTCCTGCAGCTTTCGTTCACAAAATCAAGCCGCTTGGCAAGCTCGCAAAGGGTGGCCCCCTTCAAGGTAGGTCCCTGTAATAATGTAACCGCCCTGGATTAATGCTGGCACCCTCCAGCCCTGGAAGAAAGAAACGAGCATAATGTCCTCTCGCTTTCCTATTCCAGCCCATTGCCCAGACCAAAACCCATAAGACCATCCAACATCCAGTTTCCCGGAACCTTGTCGACCTTGAAGTGGGATTAATGAGAGAAAACCATTGTTAGTCACTGCTTCCCACCCTCAATGAGAACTACCGTGGCGCGCCGTAGGCTTAGGCCAAGAAGCCGTTGCGAGGTAGCCATTCACCTTCACAACCAGCCTGGGATCAAACCAAATCGCGCCCTCAAGCAGCCTCAGTGCCTGGTTTCCTGCCTGTCCTGGTCTCTACTTCTTGCACGACCGCGAATGGGTCCCCTAACACCCCACCCAAAAGGCGGGAAGGAGGACTAACGAGTCCTCACCCCACGAACCCCAAAGGCTCTGCACGCTTCAGCCAACCTGCTGCCCGCAACGGCCCTCCGCATCCTGAAAGTCGCGGCTGAAGCCGTCGCCTGGAGCAAGGCGATCCCGATTCCCCGTGCTGAGCCCGGCCCTGTGCAATGCAAACTGGCAACGGCCCAGCCGAGTCGCGACGGTGCACCACCTGGAGGCTGGCCTCCTCGCCCTGAGCCTGGCCTGCGTTCGACCCAGCCCGTGTTGAAAAGGGAGAGGAAGGGCGGGCGGTCGGTCGGGTGGCTGGGGCATCCGAGGCGGTGGATGGGTGGCCTCTTTCAGCTTTGCGAATTCGCACCCCCGCCTTGCAAGGCTTGCACGACTGCACGCACTTCCTGGAAGTCTGCACATATCCTGAGCCAGAAAAGTTGGGCGTCACGCGAATGCATAAATTGTGGTCCCTGAAGACAGCTTGCAATGGTTCCCACCTCTGCGACCGCTTGGATTGCAACCCTAGCGTCACATCACAGTAGAGCACGTCCACAAGGCGCCTGAGCTTGCAAACATGGCCGTCGCCCCTTGAAAAAGGCAAAGTAGCTCCAACATCAAACCTGCATGCATCATCTGGCAGGCCTGGGTGCTTTCAGCTCAAGGCTCTTAGTAGTACCCATGTGCATCTAAAGCCAACAATCCGTCGTGACAACAGACGCACTCACACTCCATCCAACCGAACAAGAGATTAACTCGGAAAAGGTCATCCTGTGAATCAAACAGCCAGCCAGTCAGGTGACCAAGCGACAGAAGAACTCCAAGCAACCTTTCCACCAAGCAACCCACTTCACCAAATAGCCAGCCAGCTTCTTACCAATCAGGCCATCAACCAACCAACCAACCAACCAACCAACCAGCCAGCCAGCCAGCCAGCCAGCCAGCCAGCCAGCCAGCCAGCCAAGATTAGCAGTCAATCCGCAGAGTCAACCCCAAGCAAGCGAGCAACCAAGTGGGCAGCCCGCAAACCTCGCGGAGTTCTAAAACAGTCCCTCCAATTCCGATCCCGGCTCCATCCGCAAGCCTCGGCTCGGGCACCGCCAACCTTCCCAGGGCCTCTTTGGCACTGTGCAGTGTGCGCAGCTGCGGCTGCACCCGCTTCCGCAAGTCTTGGCCTGGCAGGGGGCCCGCAAAAGTAGGTTCGGAACCTCCCAAATGGCACATGGGAAATGCCTCGATTCAGAAAGGGCTCTCGCTAACTGTCATGACGCGCTGACGCCTCTGGAGGAAGCCTGTCACCCAACGCCCACTACCACCCCTACGACCCCTTCATTTCGAGCCCTGCGGGCCTGGAGAGCCGTAGAGTGCTTGGTTGATGGGCCAGCACACCTCACCTTAGCGTGGTCAGCATGCGGGCCCTGAGTCAAGTGATATCCGCCACTCAAGCCACGGTCAGCATCTGTTGCATCTAAATTGGTCGTTAAACCACCCTCAAGAGACCAAACGTTGAGTATCCCGAAAGCACTTTTTACAGCCGCGAATGACAAGCCCACAAACAACATAGCCTAACTTTCGCCAACACCAAAGCCGCAGCGGACTTTGCAAACAGCCTGTGATTTGAGTTGCCACTGTTGAGCCAAAGCAGTCGCTGCGCAAGTAGTCGCGCTTCAAGCACTGCTGCGCAAACATGGCTACCAATTCTGGAGCAGAACCCTTGAAAGCCTCTTCAGGAACGAGCCAAAGGCTGCCCAAGAAATTCAGAAAGTCTTTGGAGGCAGTTTCAGCTGTCGGTGGACCGCAACATGCACAGGGAGTATGTGGAAAATGCATGGTGGACGAAGCAACCAACTGCACGTGTCAAACCCGAGTTTCGACAAGGCGCGCTGGAAGGCGTGGGCAGAGTGGCGCGCTTGAAGAAAGCTGCTGCGGAGGTCCGTCACTACCTGCAATGTTTCGTTGCAGTCGCTTTCATGTCTTTGTTTCCTGTCCCCGGTCTGCTCTTTCCCAATTTTGCTTTGGTTCCCTTCTGTTTGACGATGTGGCTCATCTGCTCCCTGTTCTGTGAAAACGACAACTCAGCTACAGGCCATGCCGACCTGGCGCCAGCATAGTGATACCCCACCCAGCATGAGCTGCTAGAAAGAGGCGCTGTCATCCAGGCTGGCATGCAAGTGAATCAGGCGGCTAATCCAACTAACACACAGGTTCGGTGGCCTTTTTCGACTACGCAGCAGGAATGATTCTTGTCATGATCGTGAATAGTGGGGCCTCCATGTGCAGCAACCGTTCGCCACTGAGCAAGCCATTGTCTTCCTCGACCTTCCGGGGAGGCCCCAACCAAAACCCACCCGCTCCCAAATTGCGTGAGGCCTCCTGTATCAACGTTTCCTGCAAGTCCGTGTCCTCGCAGCCGAAGACAGTGGAGACCTCCCGGCTTTGCGTGGCCGATGCCGAACACATAAATCCAACTCATATGCATTTTGGCGCGGTCATGGGCCAGGAATACCCTCATTGCGGCTGAACCTGTGTCCAAATGATAAGCACGGATGGATAGAAGCGGCACTGCGCACATCTAAAGTGATATGGTTTTGCCAATGTGTTCTGCAATCGGCCCTGTGCAACTCCTTATTCTGTGGCATTGCCAATGCTCTGGCATGCATCATTAGGCCGCACATGTGTTCCTTGCTTTCCATCTTCTTCCTTCCTTTCTTTAGGGCGCAATCACGACTGGCTAAGTACTGACTTGCATGGACAACCGGAACTTCAGTCATGAGCTGACCATTCTGCACTGGACCGCATCCAAGAGGCGTGGGCGGAATGATGCAGCACGGACACCACTTGCCTTTGGAGAAGGCTGACAAATGCGTGGGTGAAGAATTTGCCTTTTTAGAGGCAAGAGGCTAGGCAAATCATGTGATAGAAAGCTGGCAGTGCTCACGTGATAACTCATCTGTGCAGGTAATGCGCGACTTCAGGCATGCTCATGACCAGCGCGTCAGCTACGTCAGCTACGTAGCCAGGGAAGGCCAGCCGGGCCCCGGAAGCCACATCTCAGCCAAGCTGCAGCAACTCTGAGCAAAGCGCCTCCAACGTCAGTTCGTGCTTAGTCGCAATGCGGTACATGCTGTTGAAGCCTCAGTTGCTAATGAAATCAAGTACAGGCCAAAAACTACACAAACAGACACACGCACGCACACCCCACTCGCGTGTGTTGCCTCTTCTTTGAACCAACGAAGCCAGGGCCACCCAAAATGATGTGCGCGTTTCTTCTTGCCCTTCTTGCCTGTCTTCTTGTGCCCGGGGGCGTGCAGAGGTACCAAAGATGCCGCACACGAGGAACGGCACCAGCAGGCACATCCAAAGCATGACAGTGCCCCCTGTGCCAGAGGGGCGCAAACGTAATAGCCCGCCAGCGAGCGAACCAGCCAGCCAACGTTCAGTTAACTGTGTGGCTGATGGCTTGCACATACTGTGTGAAACGTTAGATGCTGGCGCCCTGGACATGTTGCCACCGCGACTTGTGCAGGGCTGCCTGTCTTTGCCATGAATCGCATGCCAATCATCCCCAAACACCACAATGGGCATCCAAGCCCTGGCATTCACATCCCTCTGCCGCCTATATTTACCGCCAGGGATTGGCACAAGATCGGGCTCAGCGAGGCGAGGAACAGGGTCGACTGCGCCTGGCGCGATGAAATGTAACACATGCCCGATTGTCCAGCCCTGACATCGGACTCCAACCTGCTGCCCCAAAAATCCTTTCCACTTGGGGCACTCACTCAATGTGTTTCCACTTTTCACCCATTGCGCTTGCTTTGCACATTGCTTCCACCTTGCTCTCCAACTCCAGGCTTGCCAGCGTGAAGACCATGAAGCCCAGCCCCAGCTGCTGCACTAGCACCCACAAGGAGCCCGCAATGGTCCAGGGGATCCTGCCAGTCTGGCCGGCCAGCTCGGTGACGGAAAGGCACTGCACCCTCCCCAGAAGGAGCCTCTGAAAAATGGAGGCGCCTTGTTTGCAGATCACAGCCTGCATTTGAAAACAAAAAGCTGTACTCCAGGCTTTGTTCCAGCTGGTTGGCATTCTTTAGCCTCTCTCGTTCTCTCCATCCATCCATCCATCCTCCATCCGTCCGTCCGTCCGTCCGTCCGTCCATCTGATATATCTTGACAATGGTGTCTATCTTGTCTGCCTTGGCATCTATCTTGTCTGCCTTGGCAATCGTGTCTCTCTTGTTTGTCTTATCTACATGTTCGACATTATCTATTATATCTGTCTTGTCTACCTGATCGATCTTATCCGTCTCATCTGTCTGACCGATCTTATCTATCGTATCTATCTTCTCCGTGGTATCTGTCTTATCTGTCTTCTCGCATAGGTATCATCGATTTTCCGTTCGTTCTATCTAATCTAAATAGTTCTAATCAAATCTAATCAATCTATCTGAACTAATCTATCTAATCTATCTAATCTATCTAATCTATCTAATCTATCTAATCTATCTAATCTATCTAATCTATCCGATCCGATCTATCCTGTCCATTATCATATATATATATATATATATATATGTGTGTGTATGTGTGTGTGTGTATGTGTGTCGATCTGTCTGTCTGTGTATCTGTCTATCTCTGTCTGTCTGTCCATTTATCCGTCTAATCTATCTAATGTATGCATCTATCTTACTAATCTATCCTAACTACCACAACCCAACCTAACCTAGTCTAATCTAGCTATCGACGTATCTATCCTCCTGTCCGTGTGTCAATGCATTCTATCGACCAATAATTATAATCGATCTAGGACCGTTCTATCGGTATGTCGGTATATGATCTATCGATTTATTATTTATCGATAAACCCGTCCATTCTATCTGCTCTATCTGCTCCATCTGCTCTATCTGTTGTGTCTGGCCCACCGGTTCTATCTGCTCTATTCACTATATTGTGTCTATCTAGTCTTTCTTTTCCGTGTCTCATTTCTGATTTGTGTACTGTTATCTATACTAGCTACTCCGTATAGTACATCGGGTCTTCTATTCTCTCTTCCTTTATCTACTTTATCTGTCTTGTCTGTCTTACATCTAATCTATCTTGTCTATCTCATCTATCTTCTCTGTCCCATTTGCAAAAGTTGTACCCAGGCGGACAGGGGTCCACTTGCAAACACAGCTGCGGAACTTGCAATATTTACAGCGTCCACAACGCCTCTCTCTCCCTTACATGGCTCGTGCAGGTTGGCTCACCCAACACACGGCTTTGCTGCCCTGCCCTACAAGTACCACCCACCCAGCCAAGGCACCGAAAGCAACGATGCAGCCTGCAATAGCCGCCAGCATCCTTGAGCTGGCGATTGGTTTGCGACCCCGGCTGTCTTGCCTTCTCGAGGAAGGGTGTGATACAAATTCTTCCTATTTAGGTCATTTCCCTTAAAGCATCACAACCAGACACAGGCGGATGTCGGAATTGCGGATCTCCTTCCTCAAACATGTGGTGCGCAAGGCAAGCAAACTGCTGGCATTTGAACACACAATGCGTTTTAGATACCTAAGTCTGCTCCCCCGAGTTGGCGAAGGCACAATCCAACAGGAGATACGAACCATAGCGTCAAATAGAGCGTCGCGACTCGATTTGCAAGCTGGCCAAGGAAGAAGGCCAGCGTCTGAGCTTTTCACACGGTGGGGCAAACCATATCACTTAGACTCTTAGACCGTCTAAAGTGCGTCTAAGCCTCGTCGTGGAACTCATGGCACCCCGGCTGGCTGCATGGGAAGGGCACCGTCTCCTGGCCCGCGCCCATCGCCCAGGTGCCACTGGCGTGCACAGCCACAGCCGACCCAAGTCCCCACCCCCGGGGCAACTGGCAGGTGCAACACCAACTCACCCAGAACACTGTCTCCTGGCGCCACTGCAAGCTGTGTGGGGACGCAACGGCATCTGGAGACTTGGGGTCCACGTAGACGGAATGAGCCCTGGCATGCCCAGTCGGCTCGCTCCAAGGTGAAGGCAAGAAGACCATGTCCGCTTCCCCGTTTCTGGTCATGCTTGCTGCAGATGCTCCAGGTTTTAACTTGTTTCACACAGCCCTGTGTCCTTGTCAATTGCACCCGGCCGTTCTGAAAAATAGCTCTTCCACCACTTGAAAAAGAGATTCCTCTACGTAGAAAATGGACCAAGGCCAACTTTTCTTCTCGCCTTCCAACCCACCCGCGCTGCGTGGCACCTTTTCTCAAGCGACCGTGCCCAGATGAGCAAGACAGGTCAGCACCTGCCGGGGTCGAGCCAATGGAAGGTTTGAGCACGTGAAAAGGGGAACACATTAAATGTCTGCAGCGGCAACTGGCTAAGGCAGCGCTGTTTACTATGCAGCGGGCAACTTCGTTGTGACCATGGAGGTTGAGGAACGCGCTAACTCGCACAAAACTGGGCCGCAAACAAAAAGAGAAACATGCGGAGTGCACGTTGCTCCTGGCTGTTCACGGCCACACTGGCCTCAAGGTTGACGGGGTGCGAAATGGACCTCCAATCGCATGCTCGACCTGCAGAGTGAGGTATTGTAGAAGGGGGAGGACGGCAAGGAGAAAGAAAAAAATACAAGAGAGAGAGAGAGAGAGAGAGGAGAGAAAGAGGAGAGAGATAGCAAGAGAGAGAGAGGAGAGAAGGAAGAGGAGAAAGCGGAGAGAGATGAGAGAGAGAGGAGGGAGAGGAGAGAGAGGAGAGAGAGAAGACAGAGAAGATAGAGGAGAGCGGAGCGGAGAGAGGAGAAAAAGGAAAGAGGGGAGCGAGAGGAGAGAGAGGAAAGAGAGGCCAGAGAGGAGAGAGCGGAAAGAGAGCGGAGAGAGAGGAGGGAGGAGAGAGAGGAGAAAGACGATAAAGGAGAGAGAGGAGAGAGAGGATGAAGGGAAGAAAGAGAGAGAGAGAGAGAACAAAGAGGGAAGAGAGAAAAAGGGAGACAGAGAAGAGAGAGAAAGAGAAGAGAGAGCAAAAGAGAGAGACAGAGATAGGGAGAAAGAGACAGAGAAAAAGAGAGAGAGAGAGAGAGGATACAGAGAGAAGAGAGAAGAGAGCAGAGAGAAGAGAGAGAGAAAGAGAGAGAGACAAAAAAGAGAGAGAGAGAGAAGAAAAAGAGAAGAGAGAGAGAGAGAGAGAAGAGAAAGAGAAGAGAGACAAAGAGAGAGACAAAAAAATGAGAGAGCGAGAGAGAAGAGAAAGAGAAGAGAGAGAAGAGAGAGAAAAGAGAAAAGAGAAAAGAGAGAGAAGCGAGAGGAGAGAGACAGGGAGAAAGAGAGAGAGAGAGAGACAAAGAGAGAGAGAGAGAGAGGAGAGAGAAGAGGAGGGAGGCCAAAAAGAAGAGAGCGAGAGGAGAGAGAGAGAGAGAGAGCGAGAGAGAAAAGAGAGAGAGAGAGAGAGAGCGAGAGAGAGAAGAGAGAGAGAGAGAGAGAGAAAAAAAAAAGAGCGAGGAGAGAGAAGAGGAAGGGGGCCAAAAAAAGAAAGAGAGAGGAAAGAGGGGAGAGAGATGACAGAGAGAGAGAGAAGAGAGCGTGGAGAGAGCTACAGAGAGAAAAGAGAGGAGGCACGCAAAAAAGAAGAGAGAGAGGAGAGAGGGGAGAGAGAGAAAAAAGAGAGAGAGAGAGAGAGAAACAGAGAGAGAGAGAGAGAGAGAGAGAGAAAGAGAGAAAGAGAGAAAGCGAGAGAGAGAGAGAGAAAGAGAGAAAGAGAGAGAGAAAGAGAGAAAGAGAGAGAGAAAGAGAGAAAGAGAGCAAAGAAAGAAAGAAAGAAAGAAAGAAAGAAAGAAAGAAAGAAAGAAAGAAAGAAAGAAAGAAAGGAAGGAAGGAAGGAAGGAAGGAAGGAAGGATGGATGGATGGATGGATGGATGAATGAATGAATGAATGAATGAATGAATGAATGAATGAATGAATGAAAGAAAGAAAGAAAGAAAGAAAGAAAGAAAGAAAGAGGGGGAGCGGGGGAGAACACGCTCCTGGCGGAAATGGACAAAGAATGATGTGTGCTGGATCGTGTGCTTCTTGGGTGTTCGCTTGGAGGGAAGGATATCGAAGATCGCCGAGTCATCTCTCAAAGTCCGTTCGCCTCTAGGCCTCAACAAAATCCCAAATGATAAGGAAAAGCAGGTGCCTTAGAAGAGCTCTGCGCCATCCTCCAGCTGCGCCGCGTCGGTGGTCTCAACGATGCCGTGCCGCGCCATCTTCGCCTGTGAGACGGACACCATCGACCTGAAGCCCAAACCAAAACCAATATGTGCAAGACCCAGAAGGATATCAATTGCCCAAAACTTGCCCTCAACACAAACCAACACAGCAGCTATAAAACTCAATCCTTCCCACCCCCTATACGCAACCCGCAGGGAGCAAAGCCCTCATGCAACGTAAGCGCGAGCGATACCATCGAGGAAGTTAGAGGCCGCCAACCTGAAACACTGGATTCCTGCACATCGAAAAATGGGTGAGAACGTGCCGCTGGAGCTGAAGGGAGGCGGGGGGGGGCGGGGGCCTTAAAAGCTGGCCCTGGATCCAGTACTTGGGGCAAACAAACAAAACAACAGCAAACGGACGAGCAAAGTACAGCCTCCAGGCGCACCACCTAAACCACGAGCCTTTGGCAGCCGTTCATGCTTGCATCAGGTGAATCAAATTCGATTGCGCCAAAGCAGCCCTCGTCACGAAAACGCATCTGGCCAGGCCTTCATGTCTTCGGCATAGCTCGCCCATTCAGAAAAGCTGACGCTGCCTCCGCCTCATGGAGAACGATGAACTGATGCAACGATTTTCAGCTTTTGCTCATCGGATGCTAAATGTGGGGTCCGCGCTTGCTGCCGCTTGCTTTTCAAAGTGCCCATCCATTTCCCACTTCCGTTTGGGCAACCCAAATAATAAAACCTATTCAGCACCGTCCGCTCCAAACACTTGCCGAGTTGCTGGGCCGCGTCGCCTGGGCGCGTATGCGGTCAGACTCCCACTGCAGCTGCATGAGCTCCTCCGGAACCGACGGCCAAGCTCCTGGAAGCCGTTCGGAATCGGCATGGCTGTGGTTCTGCGCGTGGTGTCAAAATCGGGGTGGTTCCTGTGGGGGGCTTCCTTTTGGCCCGCTGAAACCAACCTGAAAAGGGTGTCAACACACATTATATAAAAGCTATAGGTCTGGATGCCTGCGTTCTTGCCTTGATTCCACGGAACAGGCTGGGAGCGAGGTTGAAGATAGGGTGAGAACTTGGCTGTTTTGCTGAGGCCTTTCCTCGAGGTGCATGGCCCTTACCCTTCTCCAGCACTGGCACTTCGACCGCCTCCTGCTGCATCCTTTCGGCAGCCTGGGCAGCAACCCTCTGTCCCCTCAGTGTTGAAGGTAAGCCTGATTCACCTGGATGCTGATGCGCGCACGCAAGCATCTCTGTCTGTGTCTCTGTCTTTGTGTTCGTCTCGATGTCTGTGCCTGTCTGTCCGTTGGTCGGTGGGTCAGTCGATCAGCCTGTCTGTTTGTGTCTCTGACTCTGGCTCTGACTCTGTCTCCGTCTACCGGATGTCTCTGTCTCTGTCTGTGTGTTTTTGTCTGTCCCTCTCTGTCTGTCTGTCTGTCTGTCTGTCTCTGTCTCTGTCTGTCTGTCTGTCTGTCTGTCTGTCTGTCTGTCTGTCTGTCTGTCTGTCTGTCTGTCTGTCTGTCTGTCTGTCTGTCTGTCTGTCTGTCTGTCTGTCTGTCTGTCTGTCTGTCTGTCTGTCTGTCTGTCTGTCTGTCTGTCTGTCTGTCTGTCTGTCTGTCTGTCTGTCTGTCTGTCTGTCTGTCTGTCTGTCTGTCTGTCTGTCTGTCTGTCTGTCTGTCTGTCTGTCTGTCTGTCTGTCTGTCTCTGTCTGTCTGTCTCTGTCTCTCTGTCTCTCTGTCTCTCTGTCTCTCTGTCTCTCTGTCTCTCTGTCTCTCTGTCTCTCTGTCTCTCTGTCTCTCTGTCTCTCTGTCTCTCTGTCTCTCTGTCTCTCTGTCTCTCTGTCTCTCTGTCTCTCTGTCTCTCTGTCTCTCTGTCTCTCTGTCTCTCTGTCTCTCTGTCTCTTTCTGTCTCTCTGTCCCTCTGTCTCTCTGTCTCTCTGTCTCTCTGTCTCTCTGTCTCTCTGTCTCTCTGTCTCTCTGTCTCTCTGTCTCTCTGTCTCTCTGTCTCTCTGTCTCCTCTCTCTCTCTCTGTCTCTCTGTCTCTCTGTCTCCTCTCTGTCTCTCTGTCTCTCTGTCCCTCTGTCTCTCTGTCTCTCTGTCTCTCTGTCTCTCTGTCTCTCTCTCTCACTCTCTTTCTGTCTCTCTGTCCCTCTGTCTCTCTGTCTCTCTGTCTCTCTGTCTCTCTGTCTCCCTGTCTCTCTCTCACTCTCTTTCTGTCTCTCTGTCTCTCTGTCTGTCTCTGTCGGCTGTCTCTCTGTCTGTGTCTGTTGGCTTTCTGTCTGTCTGTCTGTCTGTCTGTCTGTCCGTCCGTCCGTCCGTCCGTCCGTCCGTCTCCGTCTGCTTGCCTGCCCACATGCCTGCACGCCTGTCTGTCTCTGTCTGCCTTTGCACGGGTGCATGCATGGAACTACGCACGCATGCAAATGGGATGGGATGGATGGGATGGCTGGCTGGCTGGATGGAAGGCAGAAAGGAAGGAAGGAATGAGAGAAGCCTCTTAGATAAAATGCAAAACATCAGGACCTCGAGGCTGAACAAATTACCGTACCAAAACAAACAGATTGAGCGCACGCACATCAAACTACAGGCTCTCCATGATCTGCTGCAATTATGTGAAGAGCTGAGTCACGGCCTATGGCACCTTGAACCTTGCATGTTCACCGCAAGCTCTTCCCAAAGCCAGGAACAGCCACCCACGTTCCCCCGGCCTCTTGACGGAGCACGCTCACCGACATCCAATCCTCTGAGGGCATCGCAAACTCGCGCACACGAACCTCAGGTGCACAAGAACACCCAAAGCAAACAGGCAGACAATGAGGC